AAGCCGAAGTAGTATAAAGTAATAGCAACCTTAATTACGCTGATACCTGATAATTTTATTACACGCACTTTAAATTATAAACATAAACAATAATATAACATTCTATATTATAGAAATAACATAACATATACAGGGTGTTAGGTAAATGGGTATAATATGAGCCGACACTAGCCCATGTTAACATGGGCATATAAATGGTATGGTGAAGTCAGAAAATTGATATCTTTATTTTAATTATTTTAATTTTCATACAAACCGGATTTTAAAAATTTATTTTGTATGATAATTAAAAAAAATAAAATGATGATATCAAATTTCTGACTTCACCATACNTTATTTTAATTATTTTAATTTTCATACAAACCGGATTTTAAAAATTTATTTTGTATGATAATTAAAAAAAATAAAATGATGATATCAAATTTCTGACTTCACCATACCATTTATATGCCCATGTTAACATGGTCTTGTGTCGGCTCATATACCCATTTACCTAACACCCTGTAGAAATCTATACAAAATGTCATTATCAAATCAACTATCGCTCAAAAAGTAAGTAAGTAGTAGGTAATTTTAGTCATAATTTTCATGAGTTTTAAATGTAGCAATGACAACTGATTTGCTACGATTACAGTTGCTACGAGCTACGAGTACGATGGTTTTTATACTTTCTTGGTATTGCATCTTAATACAGTGACCTTAAGGTCTACAGAGTGTTTAACACCTTATTTAAATTGAATTGAAATTGACTTTTGTGAATTAGATATTACTTTAAAATGAAGAACCAATGAATGTAGCGCGTAGCAACCGTAGCAGACTTGCTACGACTACGGTCGCTACGAGCTACGGTAGCTACGAATCTACGTTTTGGATTTGTTGTTTCGCAAACGGCCCCGGGACAAACTTGACCTTCACTGGTTGGGTTTTTATTGGCGGTCAACCTGTAGATCCTGGCTACACAGGAGTTGCGGTGTGAACGAGAGGTGGGAATAGTCCCGTTAAACGGCCGATTTCTTTTTACAAAAAATGATTTTTTATCTCAGTCAGTACTACTACTCAGTACTAGTAGTCAGTCTACTCGTACAATAAACTGTTACATACTCGTAAATCCCTTATTATTATGATTATAAATGATTTTTCTTCGTAATGACTCTCCTTGCATCGTTTATAATATTGTTGTATACGATAAATCAATAAAATAGTGCCTATGGGTCATTGATTATTTTATTTACTATATTAATTCTACGAAGTTAATAAATGAGTAGTAACGTTTTAAACAAATCAATTAAAACTAATAAAAGTTAGCCACAATTCGTTGAATTCAAATTACATGTTTCCAGAATTCCTTTTATTTATAGCTACAGGAAAACTTATTTATAAAGGTACCTTCACACTGTTACGCTTCCCTTAGAAGCTTTTATCCTGCTCAGCGCTTGGTGTGGCACGCTCGCTGCAAACTGAGTTAGCAGCGCTTCCGCTTGTATTAAGCGTACCGCTTTATGTACCGGTAGGTTACAGTATAGCGATTAAGCTGTAATCATATTTTAGAACCACTTACAAAGCAAGATACTTCAAGTAGGTAAGGTAGAGAAAACTGTAGTTTGTACTTTATTTCGAGCTGATGACGTGGTCTATTCCACTTTGATAACCTGGCTTTGATCACCCAGATAATAATCAAAGTGGACTGCAAGCGACAATTTGGTGTCCTTTGATCACCCATGGATGATGAAAGTGATGGGTGGATGGGACCTGGGTGATGAAAGTGGTCTTTAGATTAATTAATATTTTAGTTTCCTTTGATCACCTATCACCTCCTCTGAATAGTCATTATGTGCAATTGTTGTACTTACATAAAAAAATATGTAAGTACAACTATTGGACATGTGCTGTGTTTTAGGTTTTTATAGTAATGTACATCATATGTTTTTTTAGATTTTTCATTTTCTTATTTTAGAAGTTAGAGGGGGGGGGGGGGACCAACTTTTTTCCACTTTGGAAGCGTCTGTCACGCAAACTATTCGGTTTGTCTGTCTGTCACGCAAACTAAGTATGGGGAGCCCCCAATATTTTTTTATTTTTTTTATTTTTGCATCAAAATCTTAATGCGGTTCACAGAATACTGTATCTACTTACCAAGTTTCAACAGTATAGCTCTTATAGTTTCGGAAAAAAAATGGCTGTGACATACGGACGGACAAACGGACGGACGGACAGACAGACATGACGAATCTATAAGGGTTCCGTTTTTTGCCATTTGGCTACGGAACCCTAAAAAATGTTACAAGACAAGTTCTGTAACATTTTTTATATTTTCTAAAAACCGTAACAAACAAATAGGACATGGATGTGACTATTTAAATTAAAAATGTATCTGCCACTGACTGTCTGATTGACTGACTGATTTTACTGTCTCAGTATGGGGTTATTTTCGAAAATACACACTTAACATCTAATTTCAGTATCCATGCGTATGTAATTAAATGATTTTCACAGATAATTTCACTGAATCGATTACCTTGCCTTTGAAAAAAAAATCACTTTCTTTGAGTTCAAGTTGTTGTATTGTCCTGTCCACATTCTAAATAATGTCGTATTTTTAATCATTTTAGCATAACTTGAAAGCGTCGCTTCTTCGTTTCAGCCAAATGACATCCACTGCTGGACAAAGCCCTCCCTCAAGGATTTCCATAGCAACTGGTTCTGCGCTGCCCGCATTCAGGTGCTTCCCGCGACCTTCCCAAGATCGTCAGTCCACCTAGCAACTCTCAGCTTACACTTATTTTATTTATAGCTACCGTATTGAATATAGTACGAGTGAGATCTATGGTTCCACGAATAGTTTAAGGTCAGTTATGTGCAATTAAGTAGGTATAATTAAGTAGGTGTGAGTGACGTATTATTACGATAGTAATAATATACCTGTACGGAGGTATGTTAAATTGTTGGTCCCAAAATGGGATTTCAAACAGAATGGGTTGTTGAAACAAGTAACTAATACAAGTATGATATTATCTTCCCTCCCACGTACTTACACGTAGTTTTAATCTAAAATCGATACAGATACTTGTATGGATAATGGCATGTCAAGCTAAGCACGGGCACCTTATGCTAATGGTAATAGATACGATTTTGGAATAGAAATGTAACATCTGTAATCACAGCACATGTTACCATGAAAATGACGCCACAGAATTCAAAGTAAGTATTAAAGATCCACGCAAGATTTTTAAAAGTTTAGGAAATCATAATACCTAAATGGCCGGCAAAAACTTTAAAAACTAGCTTTTACATCGTCACCAGGGCCGGACCGTGAATTTGGGGGGCCCTGGCTAATACTACTTAGGGGCACACCTACTAATATTACTCTTTCGCATTATCGTCTTTCTTTGACTTTGACTTGACTTAGCTGGGGGCCCCTTGAATCCACGGGGCCCTGGGCTGAAGCCTAAAAAGCCATATGGTACCTAGATCCGGCCCTGATCGTCACTTTTATGAGAAGGCCGTCACAGTGTTTTCATTTGTAGCACTGAAAAAACTAATCTTATTTTAGTTACCTACTAACTTGGTTAGAGTTTCCTACTTAGTAATTATATTGTTGTAAGTAGTCTAAGGATGTTTGGACTAAATAAAAGTATTTTTCTTTCTTTCTATTTCTTTTCATAGCAACAAATAGACCAATGGTGTCGTGACGAATTCAAGGGACACTAGTTCGATGCCCGACGGTCGTTGTACTATTAAGTATAGTGAGGGTCCACTCCTAACACAAGCATACTTACCTATTATTTTGCTTTTGGAGAAGAAGATAAGCAAAAAATGTCACTCCGATAGTTTAGCCTAGGCGCAGACCACCGACTTTTAGTTGACCAATAGTTGGACCCGATTCTAATTTGTATAAAGTATTAGCCGATACCAAATCGGTGTATAATGTGCGCACTTTCATATATCTCCATACTGATCAACAGCCCGACCCAACTATCGGTCAACTAAAAATCGGTGGTCTGTGTCTAGGCTTAGTACTTATTATAAAAACACTAATCAATTTTTTAAAGGATAGTGCACACTGCACGTGTGCCTGTCATCGTCGTTTGACATTTGCTTGTCCAAAATGTAGGCTGCGAGCACACCGGGGTGTAAATGAATTATCCTGGCCGGACGTGATTTCGCTACCACACCGCTCATCGCTTCCCAAACTGTATTATATTATGGTCCCCTTTTTTCCTTACACGCACGCACGGATACAATATTTTTGAACGATAATTTAATGTACTTAAAATGGTAAAATCAATGGTATCCAAGCGAAAATACTTTAGTAGCCTCTATTACTTAGTAGTTTGGTGGAGATCGCAGGAATTATCTGTTAGCCCAGTGTGAGTTTACGTCAAACGCATTCGATGTCGACTGCGTAAAAAAGTGACATTAAATGTATGACGGATTTGTAAGGCGCCCCTAGCGGAAACTTTCAAGAACTAAAATTTTCATACATTTTTTTAACGCACTCTCTAGTGAGCACGTTTAAACTCACATTCAGCCTTCAGGTGGCGCTGCACTGGTCGTTATGAAAATCTTTGGGAGAGCCTTTGTCCAACCTCGGACATTATTTGGCTGAAGCGAGAGAAAGAGCGTCTATTATTGAAAGTCGAAGAATAAAAGAAAGAAAAGAAAAAACGTGATTTTACAAGGCAGCTTTAAATAAGTGCTCCTGACAACATTTTTTCTTATGTTCAAAGAATGAGAATACCTACTTAAGAAAATTGGACTTATGTTGTAGTTTTCGAAGTACTATGAATAACTGATACAGCAAGAAGCACTGCAATATTGATGCCACTTGTTATTTTAGAACGAATACTTTTAGATCTTCACTACATTATGTATGCGCACCTACATTAAACGAAGTTCAAATTATATCGCCCCCAAAAAAGTTTGAGCGCCGCCGTAGCGCGGGCGTCCCGTCCTATATAAACTCGGCTGCCGGCGACGCACCGCATTCAGGAGCGCAACAGGTGGCGAGAGAAGGTGAGTGTGAATACAGCCTTATACTTTTTGAATTTTTTAAACTTGAAAAAAAAAACGAAAGAAGAATGCGAAAAATAAAAGGCGCAGTGTTAAAAATATCAACTTAAAAATATATTTTAATATTTAATTGGTAAAAAGTTATTGGGAAGTTAATATTTTTATAATTTTTAAAGAAAAACTCAAATGTTATTGATTCAAAAAAGTATTTTATTTTAATTTAATAAAAAATATGACATCGGTTAAACTTAAATTGTAATAACTAAAATATAATGCACAATTTTAAAAAGCAGCTGTAAAATATTAATATTGTGTAGGTAGTTAGTTATCTAGCTCTTTTTTAAAAACTTAAAACTTTTGTTAAAAACAAATACGCGAATCCATAAAAATTTGCAACATATCGTTTTGCGTTGTTAACTTCTATTAAAATATTCTACGTTTATAACAATAATTAAAACTATTTTATAATAAAGTACCCATCAAATTATGTTAAAATAACTTCTAAAAACGGGTTTTTAAAAATACCCCACTTTTGAGGCACTTAATTAATTATGCCTTCAAACAAAGGATCTTGGAAATTAACCCCTCAACCACTTCTTAATGATTCCACGAAGGAGATAATAAATTGGCAGTACCTACATTTACTAAAACGTCGTGCATTAGGTTAATTTAATTTAATTATGAGTCGAATAAAACAGAATGTTTTATAATAGGAGTCATAATTTTAATTGTTGGCATTGCCGAAAGCCTTATACATTATTCAGGGCAATTATTTTTGTTTCGCATCTAACTTGGGCTGAAGAAGACATGGTTACTTTAAAAAGAATCTCGTTTGATAACATTTCTGAGTTGGATTGTAAATATTGGTTTATGAAGTATATTTTTAACATATTTTTACGTTTTCGTGGCATGTGATACGCGGCCGTGATACCTTTATCATCTTTCGTTTTTTTTATTACTGTAATAAAACACCTTACATGTAACAAGGAGGTATAAAAAAGAGAAAAAGCCTTAAATTTGTACTTATTTAGTACTTTAAAATTTTTTAGAAGCCAACAACGAGTGACTTTTTACAAGACGAGTGTTGTTTTTTTTTTCGTGCGTGACACTACCAAGACTACCTATAGCTTTTACAAATCCAGTTATTTGCAAAATAATTTTTTTCGGGGCCATCTAAACTTATTGGTTAATGTTAGGTGTATCTTATTAAGTTTTTAAACTTGTTTTGTCTTGCCACTTGTTAAGTGGTCGCATGAGACTGCGATAACAATTAATTTCTATTGTGTCTTGTTTCGGTGGTATTGAAAGGACTAAAAACTTAACCAGGGTAAAGTAAACGTGCCACAGTCAAGTCGTAAGACCAAGTTGTATGTAGATATGCTAGTTCTCTCGCGTATATCGAACTCGATATTTCACGCGAAAAACTTTATTCTTCAAAATAGTTAATGCCTTACATTCTTTTATAACATTATAAAAGTTAATTTTACATTCATATTATAAAGTTATCCTTTCTACAGAAAAAAGCATGCAAGCATTTAGTAAATAGGATAAAAGGTGTTAACATCACGAAGAAAGTAAAAAGCTCCGCCAAGAGACCCGAGATCGTAAAAAATCCGTGAACTAACACGGCTCACGGCGATTCCCGCAGAAGTTCGCATAATGTTACGGGATACCGTGTGATATTGTAGACAAGAGCATTTTCATGGTCTTAACATGTTGCTTACTTGTTATCCTCCGATCATAAATGCACTCTCTTTTTAAGGCTTAAAAGAAAAAAAAGGACCTCTATAAAACCACTTCTTTGTTCTTTTTTTAAAATCATCATGCCTTTTAAGACAAATTTTCTTTAAAATGCCTAAACGTGAACTAATAAAAGAACTTGCTGTCGAAAAAAGTTTCTGCTTTAATGGAATAAAAAGTCCATATTTAGTCATTCAGCACTAGACTAAATACTTTCCCATTGATTAATAATATCATAAAATTTGCTAAGAAACAAAATGTCAAAGGTCTTGAAAATTGTTATTGCTCCCCATAACTTTTAATAAAAAATATTTTTGAAACACAAAGGTTTTTCTTCCATGTATAATGCAATCAAGACTATTTTAGCGTTTTAGTCGTGAAAACGTTACAAAAAGCTAACATTTACCTATCTTTAGCTAGGTAACTAACATTTATCTGTTAGTCTCCTGGCACAGGCAATTATAAGCTTAAAAGGAAGCTTCGTTTACTTAATGTTCTAAAGTCTTATAAAATAAAGGCTTGTAAAAATAAAGAATTTTGTATTTTTTTATTAAAGTCTATCTTTTAGGTCACATTTCCGCCCAAAAATTACAATTGAGATTTTAACACAAGACTTGACAGCTCAAATCCCTCTTCTGAAGTATGTAATTATTCTATTATGAATATTTGAGTACCGTTAGTAAGTTTAAGCCTAAATACAAAACGATCTTATTAGAAACGTTTGATTAATTATGTAATCATCTGCCTACGAACGAATCTGATCCGCAAAGTTAGCAAAACGAATATTATAAGAATTGTAATACAAATATTTAAAAAAAAATGTAGAAACCTTAATCTTTTCATCATGAAACTGGGTGGATGTATGGTCCCTTTGAACTGGAAACACGATATTTTTAATTTACAGTCTCACTTTTACAAAGGGGCAAATAGTTTTACTAAGTGGGTTCAACGAGCTCTAATGACAAGATGTTTAGGAAAATATGTGTTTAGTTAACTAAAATAGAGCTATTTGTTTGATCAATAAAATGTTTTGATTCAAATACAACCTAAAAGCAAGGAAAACTAAAATAATTTTGATCACGTAGCACGTCCCTAGTCCGTACCTACATGAAAATGCAATAAGTGGGGTGTATTATTTTGGTAAGATTGTTACTGCTAATAGTATACAATAAATAATATCTTTAGAACTATGTAATTAACATTTAGGAAATTAACTTCCTTCTGCAAGACTTCTCAAGGTCCTATTTCTGGCACTACTCCTCAATATTTTTAAGTATTTAAAATAACTGCTAGTTTTTCTGCCTCACAACACAATATTCCAACTTTTTGTTTTTATAATGGAATTTTCCGTACAGCAGCTTAGGGATAAGAATGTCAGTTATTGCAATGGCAGCTCGCTGCTTAGGGATGATTTTAATTTATAAATAGGTGTGACATTTTTACCGAAGAGGGTTGCGATGCACGGTCTGATTGAAATCTTACCTATTAACTTCTTGCCAACTAATTTCAAACTTTCTGCAGAAGAAGTATAGTTTAAAACGAAAGATGTTTTTTTCCGGATCCGGATTTATAAAAATTTTGCTGCGGTAATGCACTCGAGTTTTTCAAGTACCTACCTTAACTAGCACATCCTACCTCATTATTCTGTCTGTCTGTTAAACTTTCAGACCTAAACCACTAAACCGATTTTAATGAAAGGAATAGAGACAGTTTGAGTCCCGGGAAAAGACAGGATAGTTTTTATTTCAGTTTTTGAAACAGGTACGCGCGCGATAACGTTTTTCCGTGGCAGACAAAATTTCACGCGGGTGAAGCAGCGGGTAAAATCTTTAGGCTGAGTTGCATCATCTTATTTTAATTTTAACCACGGTCCACGACTTTAACCAAAACCGGTGTTTCTTGTATGGAGCTTGACAGACTTTTGACGTTTGTTAAAGTTAAAATAAAATGGTGCAACCCAGCCTTAGACTATAATATTATCACGCTCTTTCTAAAAAGTCTGTCTCTTCAATAAATTCGAAGATTAGGCACAATAAAATTTACGTTTTGGGTCATTACTTGTTCTAAAATAAAGAATGCTAATGAAATGTCTTTGTCCAACAGACACCATGCAGCCATCATTCAGAATCGTGGTCTCCCTGGTCCTGCTATACTCAGCTATGGCGACTGCCTACCGTAAGTACTATTTCTCCACTTCCTGATAAAGTCCCTGATAGCCTTATCAGAAACTTACTTGTCAGAGGAACTGCAACTTTCGGAATTCCACGTCTAATGGCGGATTTAACTTTTAAGATGGTTTTTAACTGTTAAAAACAGGAAAAAATCGAAGAACTAATTTTAGTGACTGGTTAATCAGTTGGTTATTTAATCATTCTTGAAAATGAGATCAAGTTATTTAGGTATAAACTTTTTTCTTGACATTTTAACAAAATCCATTTTTTTCAGAAGCCTGCTATAAAATTCCTTTTAAGTAATCGTATAGAGCAAATTCTTCTGACAAAAAGAATTACATAGCGCTTATACTGTACTAACTTGGTTTGGTTCTCCCAAAATTTCCATTTAAACTTTTTTGTACGTAAGCTGATTACTGCATTTCGCAAATGTGCCGAAAGATTAAAGAATTATTCATATTCAACACAAACAAATGACTCAAAAAGCGGTTTAAGAGATTATTGTAAGAGCATGCCGACGTGTGTTATATGAAAAATGAACTGTGTAACAATTTACGAGGTGAATTGTATTTACAAAGTTAAGTTTTCAAGTTAAATTATTAAATTTACCTAAAGAGATGTAAGATGGAGAAAGTAGGTCTCAAAACTAGTTTTTTTCAGTTGAATTTTAATATTTAGACTAATCATAGGACAGAATTTAAGATATTTTACTTATGTTGCTCATTACACAATATTTATGTAAAATATCATTTTCACAATATGCAATACTTCAGTTAAAATGTAACTTTTCAGAACCGTTTCAGTACTCTTACAAAAGTTAACCATTAATCAGATGTTAATTAACAAGGTTAGTTACTAATTACAGATCAAAGAGGGACTAATAACATCTTTATTAATTACAGCCAAACTATTCCAATACAAAGTTGTATGTCACGTAATTGACCGCATATAGTTAAGTGTTTCAATGATAAAACTTTGTATAGTAAATCAATCAAATCTTCGAAGTACCCATAGCTTAAATTTCCTCAGAATTTCTTGTCACTTGATGTTATTTGTCCTTTATTAAACTAGGCTATGACAGTGACTATGTCTATTATTGGTAGAATATGGTTTAATTGAAATATCATGTCTTAAGAGGGACTCGAAGACGCAAGTGCGTTGCCGGGGACTGGTCTAACTTGTAACTAAAATTGAACTGTAGAGTAGTGTAGAGCTCACCTACTCTACCCTGTCGAACTTTTTGAATGATTTTTGCCTCAGTCAGTGTTGTACCAGTTGTACCATCAATGTAAGGTCAAACCAAGAAGACCTTGGAAATATTAAATTGAAACTGCAAATAAACATGTTTTAAGATTATTTTACTATTCAGAACTTTTCTTTTCACTTAAAAGGTCAAACTTTTCAAATGCTAGCAAAAGCAAAGTCGTAACTTAAGATAAACTTACAAGAAAAACTAATTTAAAATGGTAATATTATTCCCATAATATATTAAACAATATGTTTTACACAGAATTAAAGTAGCAAGATTCTTAAATATTAAACTCTATGCAGTCTCACTTAGTCCCTCGGCGACTAACGTCTGCTTTAATGAAATCTTAAGTTTTACTTAATTATGTACAAAATCCAACAACACTTGATTACCTTTGACGCTTCTACGATGGTTAACAGACCATTTGGACTTAAAACTTGTCTTGATAACTTGATACCTATTGTCTTGTGAACTTCCAGTTTCGATGCGCAATTTATTGGAAAATAGCTTTTGTTCATGAAAGTCTAGTTCTACGTGAATTTGATAACGCCTACACACTTTGATGTAACCTTTTTTCAGTGACCATGCATCGACATAAACATTTTTTTTCATTATAACTAAGACATTTTTTTAATTTTATGTTTGAATTAGTTTGAATTCAGTAGAAATAAAATATGAAGGAATGTTTACTGTTTAAAAATTATGTTCATATTATAGGATCACCTATGTATGTAAGTAGATGAGTAAGATTAAATATGATCCTACTAAATAATAGGTATCGCATCAACATTGTTGGTAACTCGTCTTTTGTTTTCTTCATTGTTTCTTTTCAATTGTTTTACTTCATTTCAAATAATTAATTTACATTTTCATCTCTCATAGCTACAAACTTTTTACTCTTTTTATACCAAACTCTAAAAAGTATGATTTAATTCACAAATGTTTCCACTATTCAAATCCTCTGAGCAAGGGGCTGATTGTAATCGATGGGGCGCCGTATTTATAGGGCGCATCAGTCAGTCAATTTGCGAGGCGCTATGAATACGGGGCGCATTTGCTTTGTATCGATTTGACTTTTCATTCATAAATAAACACTTGTGAGGCAAAGTTTGACTTTGTGTATTGGCTTTGTGTATGATATGATGATTAATTTAAAGGACTAAATTTAGTAAGATTTTATTCAAATCTAATGTTATCAACGTTGAAAATATTTGCTACTTTGCAGTTAAAAGTATGGGAAAGTACATTAGTCTGATAGTATTAGTAGGTACTACGTTGCTTTGAGCGTCAATTTTAAGAATCAAAAGTTCTTCACAAATTTTAATGTCAGTGTTGTTAACATAATTGTATAAAATAAAAGTAAGAACTTATCTGAATTTTGCATCAACATTTTAAATTCAAATTTTCAAACAGATGCTTAACATTAACATTTTTTGTTCTCTCCAATTTTAATATTGCCCTTTATAAATTCGCTTTTTATCGTGTAGGATTAAGTAAGATTGAGGTCACAATCTCAGTTTCTGACATATTGAGTCGCCACCTACGCAAAATCTAAGTGGGAATAGAAACAAAGACTACCCGTCTAGCCAGCGCGGGCAGTATAAGCCAAAATCCTCTATTTGCTCAAATTGTAGGAGGTAAATTGGAGAAGGTCGTCCTCGTGTTGTTAGCTGATGATGATGTTAATGATGAAGAAGAAGAATCTGAAGAAATAATGAAACTGGCTGCTAATGTCATCTATTTTCTTCCAAACCAAACGTCTTTGTCCACAGACAGCAGTGCGAAGCTTCGCCGGGATGGAGTTCTGAACCTGTACCCCTTCCCGAGGGTCGGGCGCGCGTCCAGGCACACCTGGCAGGTGCCCATCAACGACCTGTACTTAGGTAAGTACCCTCGTTACTTAGCCAAAGTAGAGTAGCATAGAGATCCTTGGTGGAGGCCTAAATCGAAGGAAACTTAAACTAAAGATGATAAATCAGGGTGTAGTTAAATCGCAACCTGTGTTATGTAAAATATTTTTCAGCAATGGATGCTATAATATCCTTTTTTAAGAGGAGATCCACCACTTTATTTAACCATGGTTTTTCATTGGGATTTTAGTAGACGAGAAAAAAAAATGTGTCAGGATTTAAGTTGTATTTTACAGATATAAATTGTCAAAGAAAGAAAGATAACAATACAGACAATTTTCATGAAATATTTTATCATTTTATTTAAGAAATTATCTCAATTACCTCAATACATGATGTAATTGCTCATTTATCAATAGGTGCTTCAGGGCAGAACATCGAGGAAGTAATTAAGTGCATGTTATCTGACTCTACAAATGGGCCAATAATGTTACATTTATTGTGTGGGAGAGAAGACTTTTATGACAAAGACAGATTTAGAATCGATTCTTGGGGTACCAACTTGTAGCTTAAGTTAATTCGTTCTCGCGATCTGTATTCTATGCTGTGGAAAGGAAAAAATCAGATCATTATCGTACTTTTTCTTCCTTATTAATAGCCACTTTAGTGATCACTGTTCTTCTTAGGACATGGTATTAAAAACTTTATGACCTGTGCAGATTACGAGCCAGTAGAAAAGAGGCAGCTCTACGCATTCCCTCGTGTCGGGCGCGACATGCCTTCCCTGCGGGACCCCTACGCGGAACACATCCAAGCACCCGTGAAGAGAACTGACAACCCTGGCATGTGGTTCGGGCCACGGCTCGGCAGGTCCTTCAAGAGTGACGAAGACGGTCAGTATTATGTCTGAAGTATTATGTGACAATCCCATTCCCAAGCAAAATGATGGCATTCTACCTAAGATCTTCAGACGGACCATACCATCCAGGTGAAATGTATTGACAACCCTGGAATGTGGTTCGGATCACGCCTCGGCAGTTTCTTCATGTTGTGTTGAGATAATTCCCCCACCCCCTAGCTGACAACCTTGAAACGTGGTGGTCATGCCCACTCGATAATTATTTTATTTTTATTTTAACTGCGTGGTAAGTTCATATTACCCACCTACTTCCTGTCCATCTCGTCAGCTAACAAGGCCTTAATGCCATTAAGTTAATGGCTGTATTTTTGTCCATATTTTTGACGTTAACATTTCTGACAGATATCACGGTTCAGAGCGAGAGGGTTGCACGCAGCGACCCGGAGCGAATGGAGCCTTTACACGAAGACAGAGAAAAGAGGCAAGTCGAAAACTAGAGAAATTCCCGCCAAATCTCAACTGGAGCGCAACCACGTCAGTAGTGCCAATCAACAGAAAATAAAAACAAAATTAGGTTGGCGTTTCCCAAACTGTATTTTTTCAGCAGTTGAGGGCTAAGGAATATTTTTTACAGCTTGATGTTTATGTAGGCGTAGGTTTATGTATGCTTTTGAAACTTTGCATAAAATTCTAAACCTGATTTTAAATATGTATAGGCCTTTTGAAGATGAAAAGTAAAATAGTACAGCGAAAAATTAGAATAAAAGAATAAACTGAAAAGTATAGGTACCTACCTACTTACATTGAGATTGTTTCATTTTAATTCCAAATTACGTTCCAAGAATAGATTTGACCGATCGGTATGTACTTTTTGTGACTGATCATTGTAATTTGGGAAACGTTGACTTATGAACAAAAAGTATGTAAGTAAATGAATTGAAATGAGTATTAATATTCTAAATAACATATTATTATACCAAAAATAACATACCTAGTTACAAATAGATGTATTTAATGCCCATACAGTTACGCCTGCCTCATTTGTCATGTAATATTAAGAAAGTTGGTCAATTTCTCAGATTGTACCTATAATAATAAAAATTAAGATTTTTGTCTTTATAAACGTTTATTGTTTTTTTAAAATGGAACTCAGTCGTTGAAGTTTAATTAATTATTATTTATTAAACTTAAACATATAGCTTTTAAGATGTAAAATAAGATAAACTGTTAAACAATTTAAGTCAGAAACATTTCGAGGCTGGGTGGGTTTTGCAATAATTAAAAAATAATTTTTAAAATTGTTAAAATCTGCGAAGTGGTTCTGCCTTATCTAAATCTTAACGCTAACATGTTTAGTTAAAAACTATTATTTAGTTCGTAATGTATCAGTTTATGAAAATAAAATGTATAATTAATTTACTTCCTTTAATTAAAATTTCATCTACTTATCGCTCTATCTACTTCGTAATTACTAGCACATATTCTAGACTGAATAGTCTATATTAATTAACCCTAGTCTAGAGTTAATTAATTATTCTATAACTTTAGAATTTAGAGTTATAGAATCTATATTTTCTAAGAAAATTAACTTAGTATAAATCTTTGGTTCTATTGTTCGAAAGAAACCCTTTTGTGAATAGTAAAAATTATTAACAAATCAAACATCAACGTCTCATACACTGAATTCTCTATTAAGTAAATTGCTTTAAGAACAGAGATAATCATGTTCACGAGAAAATGAAATCTTGAATTTCAAATTAACTTACTTTTACAGAGTAACTGAAAATCGTAGTTACGGTTTTCAGACACTTTAACAATCTAGGAAACTTATTTTTTCACATAAAAACACTATCCATTTTCATATTAATTCCATTAATTAATTGATTTAACTCACGAGTATTTGTGTCTGGTTCCAAAATTTATTCATAAAGTGACAGTTTTAACACAGATACAAACAAAAACGAATCACCTGATACAATTTTATAATTATTGTTTTGTTAATTTAACAGATGACGATTGATTAGATTTTTTCACAGATGATGTTTTTGAAAATCGAATTCGAAAACTTTTCTCAATTGTTTTACTTAGTTTACTTACTTAGCTTGAAGTTTTTTCTTTCTGTTTTTACCAGAACGAAGTTGATAGCTCTATGGAATTTGAAATGAACCTTTGTGCTAATTTATTATGTTCTCGCCAAATACTGACTAAATGAAATAACAATGAATAAAAATGCTTTGGTTTCAGTGTAAAGTGTGTTTAATCAAGTTTTATTATTAAAAATGGTACGAGATGACAGGATTATCCTGCCGGAGGCTCTCGCGAGCAAATTAAAAATAAACGTGGACTTTCATTGTACCTACAAGTACGAGTGGGTACTGAGCGCCGGACTTCATGTCAGTCAAAGCGATTTATTCTTATTCTACTTATAATAAAATTAGAATTCCTCCTACATTTTAAGATTAACTTCGTTGCGGGTTCCAGCTATCACTTCGAAATACTCAACCTCATTGGTGACACCTCCGTGGTTTTAGGATTTTTCTATAGAGATGGGTTCGATTCCCAGAAAAAAGTAAAGTCAAGTGTGAAAGGCTAATTTATTGTTTTCAATTGGTTTGGGATATTCTGGTTTGAATCAATTTGACTCTCCGATTTTTCCAAGACACAATTACTTCTCTAAAGTAACATTAAATTCTTGCCGTGAAAACCCAATAGGTACGGTAAGTGGGTAAGAGAAAAGTCAGCTAGGTTGCGGAAATGTGACGTCACTTCTTATCTTGTCATACAAAATCAATGTTAGAATCGCGTTTCAACAGTCCATAAAAATTATGTTAATTGACACCAGTCAATTAACATAATTTTTATGGACTGTTCCACTACCAAGTGGCAACTACCCTCTTGAATAAATCTTTGGCAATAGGTACCCCGGAGACGAAACTGCAAAACTTTGAGAAGGTGTGTCTCCAGTGTAAGCTGGTTTTCCTTGTCGTGGTCACGTCGAGGCGTCTGTGTTGATGGTAAAGGCGAATGCGTACGTAAAGTAAGATGGTAGTAGGCAAGTATTGACTGAGCTTTGATATTTGCGTTTTAGCTTTGGTGATTCGAAATATAAAAATAAAATAGTATCAAGTACCTAGTCATAATATTGAAAGCAATAAAGTAAAAAAAATCTATTTAAGAAATATAGTGTTTGGATATTTCCAGAAAAGCACCTGCTTTTCATCAAAATCTTACAACATGACTAAACTTTTAACTACTGATTAAAATTCTTCATTCAAGAGTCGTTGTCCGCCCGTTCACCGCCGATACTGGCGCCCCACCCTATTATTGTCTAAATAAGTAATGAGCAAACACTGATTCGTGTGCGCGGGCCCCCGGCAGGGCTTTCCACCAGGTGGGCCGAAGCCCTGTGTTGTCTCTGGTTTTTGTGACGTCACGGATGCCCTATTTTAAACGGGGATTATTGTAACGCGTATTGGTTTGCATATAAAATAGTAGTTGCGGAAATCGGACATGGTGTTTGTGGACAGACCGTAGTAATCCGCGGTGGAGCTTTGTAAAGAGGAATCTAAAACGAAACACATCCTTTGTGGATAAGAGTGTGTAAGGAGGTAAGCTACATATTGTTAATAATTATGTTTATGATAAATACCTAATTAATACAGTGATGAGCTAATTTCCGAACCACAGAATCAGCTTTCGCCTCAGACATTCGCCAAGACAGCAATATTCTAATTAAACTGGCAATTACGAAACAATGGTTTCATAGCTAAGAAAATTTCGAAGATTGAAAGGTACACGAAGAAATACAATATAACCTACGATACAAGAAAGGGTAATTTAATTCAGATGATAATTTAGTCTTGTAGAAGGGATGGAAAAACAACTCGTTCTCAGATAAGTATGTTTATATTAATTTATCAAAATTACACTAAGTCTTACTTAAGGAATGGTTTCGAGCCATATCTAGAGTACAGCCGGGTCTCCAGTGCGTGTTTTGACAAAAACATACCTATCAACATACAAGAAAAGTAGACAATTTTGTTGAATGTTGACATGTTTCTGTTGATTGTTTAGGGCAAAACACGCGCTGGAGACCCGGCTTAAAGACGACAGCACATCAAACTAAACACTGTGTCATCCTAATAAGATGTAAGATGTAAGTGTTAAGTGTATTTTTGCAATAATACAGTCTGATGAGCTGTCACTTGCACAACTCCTCTGCCTAACTTCTAAACTTAAGCCTACTCAACGATATAAGTACAAGCACGCAGCCAGCGCCAGGAACCAAACGACGGCAGTGGCAGGGTCGGCCGCCTCGGCGCCGTTNACAGCAATATCCTTATTATTATAGGCAATACGACACAATTTGCGCTACAAAAATTTTAAAGATCGACAGTTAAAATACGATACAAGAAAGAGTAATTTATTTGGATGATAATTTAGTCTTGTAGAAGGGATAAGAAAATATAACTCGTTCTCAGATATGTTTATATTAATTTATCAAAATTACACAAAGTCTTAATTATGGAATGATTTCGAGTCATCCATAGCCAACTTATAAAACTTTCTAGAGTACAGAAGACAGCACTTCAAACTAAACACTGTGTCATCTTAAGTCTCACTACACACTACTACAGTAAAACTAGTGTATATTCGTAAGCACCGCTGACGTTCGGTCACTGATGTCATCCTAAGAGGAAATCAAGCCATAGGCTGAGTTACACCAATTAAAGTTTAAACGTAACTATAATAACTATACATTATCAGTGCTTTTTGTATGGAGTTTGACGGATTTATGACGTTTGTTAAGATGCAACCTTAGTGTAATATGTGTATGCATACGGTCTGATATGCTGTCGACTATTCATCTTCCACTCTTCAAAAGAACTTAACCATACTCCTCAACGATATAAGTACAAGCACGCAGCCAGCGCCAGGAACCAAACGACGGCGGTGGCAGGGTCGGCCGCCTCAGCGCCGTTGCAGTAGTCCGAGGTGCACTGGCAGACCGTCTCCAGGTGGTCCTGGTTGTTGGCCTGGTAGCACTCCTTGTGGTGCCGCACCCACCCGCAGCCTCTGGTCACGCGGACCTCGGAGTCCCGGTGGGAGTGAAAGCAATATCTTTATTATGCTGGCAATACGACACAATGGTTTAGCGCTACGAAAATTATGAAGATCGAGAGAAGAAAGAGTAATTTATTTGGCTGATAATTTGGTCTTGCAGAAGGGATAAGAAAATGTAACTCGTTCTCAGATATGTATGTTATAATTTGTCAAAATTACACTAAGTCTTAATTATGGAATGGTTTTGAGGCATAACCAACTTATAAAACTTGCTAGACCTAGAGTACAGAAGACAGCACTTCAAACTAAACACTGTGTCATCTTATACATAAGTCTCACTACTATAGTAGTACTGAGGTTTAATTTCCTGAAGCACCGCACTGCAACGCTGTCGTCAACGGCAGATGATTACATAGAACTAGAGTATATTCGTACGCGCCGACAGATATTATGAGTGCATACAGTCTGATGTGCTGTCGACAATGCATCTTCCACTCTTCAAGAAAACTTAAGCCTACTCAACGATATAAGTACAAGCACGCAGCCAGCGCCAGGAACCAAACGACGGCAGTGGCAGGGTCGGCCGCCTCAGCGCCGTTGCAGTAGTCCGAGGTGCACTGGCAGACCGTCTCCAGGTGGTCCTGGTTGTTGGCCTGGTAGCACTCCTTGTGGTGCCGCACCCACCCGCAGCCTCTGGTCACGCGGACCTCGGAGTCCCGGTGGGAGTGGAATACTGGAAATATGAAGGGTTTGATTAGGTTCACAAACGATTCTTAACTTAAGTGAAGCAGCAAATCGAACTCACAGCGTTGAATAGAGCTCCATGTGTCACCCTGTGCGTCCACGGTCCACGCGCACTGGACGACCTCATAGTATGTTTGTGCATATGGGCGTAAGTGGTCATTAGTGTGCTGTATGAGCGAGCGAGCGACTGAGCGAGTTTATATTAGATTACAGGAACCAAGTCCAAAAATACGAGTATGTGACTGCTTCCAGGAAAACGTTTCAAAATAGCCTGTGATATTATAATATCACGATAAAAAGCTTGGTAAGTACACGAAGAAGGAGCTGACCGAAGATCAAATAAATTATCTAACTTTTAAAATTGGCCGGAAGTTTGAGAAAATCTTTCACAAACAATGAGGTAAGAAGATCTTAGACAAATACATATATTAATTCGTCCAGGGTAAGATTATATTTACGTCATGTGACATGAGCCTGACGTCATCATTCGAGCAGGTAGGTCTGTCAGTTCTGAAAATCAAATGTTTACCAAGTAGGTACTTCCGGCCACTTAAGAATTGCCAGACATAATCTAAACCGGGTAGGTACGTGTTTATTGCATGCAACTCTTCATCTAAACTGAAGTATACAAATATCATCAGTGCTATCATACTCTTTCCATCTCATACATCTTTTCGTCCCAAATACCTCAGTGCCAGAAGACTAAGGTCTACAACCAATGTGTGTTACCAGTGTTGACGTCATATGGTTCGGAAACGTGGCCTGTCACTATAGGCCTTATACAAAAGCTCAACGTTGCACAGCGTGCTATGGTGAGGGCTATGCTCGGTGTTTCTTTACGAGATCGAATCAGAAATGAGGAAATCCGTAAACGAACTAAAGTCGTTGACTTAGCCCGACGGATTAGCAAGCTGAAGTGGCAATGGGCAGGGCACGTAGCACGCAGAACTGACGGCCGATGGGCAGCAAGGTTCTGGAGTGGATGCTGCGTACCGGAAAACCCAGCGTGGGACGTCCACCCACAAGGTGGACCGACGACATCATAAAGGTAGCAGGAAGGTGCTGGACGCAGGCCGCTACCAACCGGGCAACATGGAAAGCATTGGGGAAGGCCTATGGATGCCCTAGGATGTCCTATGACTGAGATGATGATGATGATGATATCATACTCACTGGTCTGAACAATCTTCCTGCAGAAGAAGTCCACGGCAACAGGACTCGGGATGACAGTCTCGCACGTGACGACCGGAATGATGCGCGCGCGCGTCTCATCGTCGAACTGCTTCACGTCGATGCACGCGCTGTTGTTCGCACTGTTGCAGTAGTAGCACTGGATGCTGTATGCTGGAAGGCATAACTTTTTTAAAGATTATTAGTAATTAGTTATCCCGTTTGCCCCTCGTACTAAGCTAAGGCTTGGTTGCACCATCTTACTTTAACTTTGACAAACGTCACAAATCTTTCAAACTCCATACCAATAGCACCGGTTATCGTCATAATTACTGTCAAAGTAAGATGGTGCAACCCACCCTTAATATGCTTGTGTCACGAGTGAGCTCACCACAATATTCAAGCGGCGGCGGGGACCGAACCCGCGTTTTCCGGATCACGAGTCGGCCAGTCCGATCCCTTCTTTACCGTTTGTCCATCATGACTTCGAACATGACCAAATTTTCATTGTTTTTGGTCCTTAAGACACACGAATAAGGATCAAAATATGGTGGTAACTTTGCCTTACAAAGAGATAATACAGCCTACACATCTTGACTCTATATTTGCAAAAGTTGAAGCGAAAATTTATAGCCCAACGGTAAATGTAAAGGTGTCGGACTGGCCGACTCGAGATCCGAGGAACGCTGGAATATTGTGGTGAACTTGCGCTGCTTCTTCTCAGCACTGGCCCATTTATTCGGGACAATTCCCGAAGCAGTGGTAGGGTTAATGCTGGGAATGATGCTGTAAAAGTGCTTGTAAAGCCTACTGGCAAAAATAAATGAGTTTCATGAGTTTTTTTTTACTCGTAACACAAGCATATTTAGTTAGTACGAGAGGCTAACGGTAACGGGACTATAAGTTTTTTTATGAGATTAATTTGTGCAACTAAGAGTCTACAGTATTTAGCTTGATAAGAAAATAAATTGCTTCATTGGATCATGATCACATTATGAAATAGAGATTGCTAAACTGAAAACCTATCCGCGTTATGTTGCAAAACTAACACAGTACACCGGTGGGAGATTGAGGCTTAGAAGTAATTAAGGTTAAGTAATAGACATGTTGACACCACCAATCAATTGACGTCCTTTTTAAAGTGTCAAATGTAAAGTGTCAAAACGAAACTCTCCCATTTAATTTATGCCACTACAAGCAAGTGACGTCACTGGTCACTATTTTGTAAACTCAATTAAACTACTTTTTTTAATTACACCAAAAATCGTAATTTATAGGTAATTTAAAATTAATTAAGATTTTAAGATCAGAATGAAATGTCTTTTTAGAAAAGTTGTGATTTTGAATTATTGGGGAATGGTGTCAAATTGTCTATTATGTATGGCTTACATTCGTAAACTGTTGACAGTAACACAAGTAGAGTGCAGAGTACCCTGTTGGTTGCCATTTTCTGGAATGAGAAAAGGAATCCTGTTACAGTCATAATTCCACGATATTTCAAATCACCACGACCACTGGTTCTCAACCATTATTGACGCTGAGATCTTTTTTTACTTTTACGCCCCTCTTGAATCTTTAAACCGAGTGATTCAATGCTCTTGATTGCTCTTTTATATTACTTCCATTGGACCAAACATGTTAGGAAGTGTTAAAAGTTAATTAATGAACTAAGGACTGAGGACCACTGAATTTGATGCTTCACCCATTATCTTTATTAACTACTAGCTTTTGCCCGCGGCTTCACCCACGTGAAATTTAGTTTGTCACAGATCGTCACAAATTATAGCCCACATGTTATTATGGGTTATAAACAATAATAATGTAAAGTTTCATCAAAATCCGTTCAGTAGTTTTTGCGTGAAATAGTAACAAACATCCAGACACAAACTTTCGCATTTAAAATTAGTAAGATAAGATAAATTATAATTATGCGTCGCCCACCTTGAGAACCACTGGCCTAAATGAAAAAACACCGGCAATTTCTCATTTCAACATAAAGCAATCGGATCTTTGTAGATTAATCTAACAAAACCTGTTTACAATACACAAATTACCGCACATGAAAGGAGTTTGCAACTCCATTAAAATTTCAGATGATTTCATCAGAAAACCTTTTAAGATGATCGCCGATTTGTAGGAAAAACTCACAATGCTTCTAAAAAAGTTATATTGTAAGTTACCTGGGGAACAATAAGTATTCAAACCAAGGATCTTTAAAAAGTAGACTAACTTGCTTGTATTCACAAACATTACTATGAGGTCTCACAGTGCGCGTGGACGAACAGGGTGACACACGAACCAGTCACAGAGATCTATTCAACGCTGTGCGTTCGATTTGTTGCTTCACTTAAGTAAGCATCGTTTGTGAATACGGGCGTAACACACTAACACTTTACTCAATCAATTAAGTACTCATATCAAATCAAATTATTTATTTACAGGTAATAGAATACAAGAGTAGAACTCTATGTCTGTTTGTCTGTCTTGCTTTTACGACCAAACCACTGAACCGATTCCGAAATCCCGGGAAAGGACATAGGATAGTTTTTATCCCGGTTTTTAAATCAGGGACGCGCGTTTTTCTGTGACAGACAAAATTCCAAGCGGGCGAAGCCGCGGGCGGAAAGCTAGTTAACTATAATGTAAGACTACATTATCTCATTTATTTTTATCTACAATCCAAATTAGGTAAGCACGCATATCTTCAAGAAGTAACCAGTATTACTTATACAATAACAATGAGAGAATCTTAATATTACTTATAGAACAACCATCAAACTATTTCGCCCGTGCTGAAACATTATCTTATTACACAATGATAAATACCCACTCACCACTAATATTGTGTTCGGTGTTTCAGTCCAAATTTCCTAATATGTAATACTGTATTAAACTTTGAACACACTGTTTCTCTGTTTGTTATTATCTGTCGACTGTGGAACGGTGCCGGTACTTAACGCAACTCTAGTATGTGTAGCGCGACCGAACGATCTTGGGAGTTGCTTTAATTTTAATATTAAAAACAAGGTTTACTAGCAATAAAACTAGCAGAAGTTGACTTCCGCAAGCCAAAAGTAAATTGCGTTCTTCTTTTTGATAAATTGTTTGTCCAATAAAGTTAGGTATTAGGTACATTAGAATTCTAACATAAGGCGGGAGCCGAACCCTCGAACTCAAGTTGTTTATTTAAAATGTAGTTTAAGAAGCGACTCAAATCGCTAAGAAATTTTAATAATGCTCAATATTGTATTCGATACTGTAACACCTTGCTGTACTGGGTCAACTCATTTTTAAGGGTAGGTAAGTAGGTACTTAATTATATTCAAGTTTTTATTTCAAAATTGTCTCTGTAACATGTAAACAAACTAATTTCTATTCTATGATAATAATTATTGAGTAAGAATACATAATATTAAGTGTTCTTCATTCAATTATAATTATCTCAAATTGTTGTATCAACTAAAATGACATTTTGTTTTATCTCCCGACCTCTGACATTGTACGTCCCAAATACAAATTGTAGGGCATGATAAGGCATAGTAAAAAAAAGTAATATTCCTATCTGAGCGCATTGATATTAAACTTAGAGAGAGACGAACCAATGTTGCGTCATAAATATTGTACAACTATCTACAAGCGATAGACCATCATTTCATTTGCTGTCGGATGGAGTTCCTCATTCATTGAGATGTATTATTGGGTACAGCATAAACCAATAATTATCTAAAGTAAAGTTGACAGCACATCATTTGTTGCAAAAACAACACCTACTACGCCGAAATAAGATGCCACAGTGTCTAGCTTGATATGCTGTCGTCTGTACAGTCAGCATCAAATCATCATCATCATTTCAGACACAGGACGTCCACTGCTAAAAAAATAGGCCTCCCCAATGACTGCCACATCGTACGGTTGGTAGCGGCATGCATCCAGCGCTTTTCTGCTACCTTTATCAGGTCGTCGGTCCACCTTGTGGATGGACGTTCCACGCTGCGTTTTCCGGTACGTGGCCTCCACTCCAGAACCATCGGCCGTCAGTTCTGCGTACTATGTGCCCTGCCAGTTGCTACTTCAGCTTGCTAATCCGTCGGGCATTGTCAGCATCAAATAGTTGGTAACACCCAAAGTTGCCAAAAAGTTTATAACACACGCACACTTATTCCAATTGTAACAAAGACGTGTTGCGAACTTATTGGCTACTTTGGGTGTACCGAACTATTTGACGCTGACTGTACAACTCATCCACCATTAAATCTTCTATTCTACGTTCATCATGGTTATGGTATGGTAGAGACAATAAAAGGTAAAACAGCTCATAGTTTTTTAACACAATGCTATACTTAAACCTATTTAAATCCTTTAACGAGGTAATATGATCCTCGTAGGAGATATGGCTTCAGGACTCTCGTGTATTATACTCGTGGTAATACATCTTGATACTTGAAGCAGTTGATAACAATCACATACAAAAAAACATAATTTTTGAAAAAAGAATTCAATTACAATACTTACTACAGTTAAAAAAGCTATCCAATTTACTGTAGAGAATCACACATTCTAGGTACCTACCTAAAATCTAATGTTAAACAGCTTCAAAGGAGAAAGTAAAGAAACTAGCATACTTACTTATTTGAATAGTAAAGTATTTATTCGTATTATTTAATATCGCAGTTGGTTTATACAAGATGAAGACTCTTGTAATTACAAAGAAAATGTAATCTCCGGAAGAAAAAGAATTGAAAATGAACGCTTAAATAAGCAAAGAATAAATCCCTATCCCGTAAGTTGAGGTCTGGCGTTGAAAGAAAATACACGAATACCTTTTCTCCGTTTGTAGATAGGTACTTACCTATGTTTATTAGATTGTATTATTTAGCTATTTTGATTTCAGCATTTTAGGTAAAGACTCGCTCCTTTTCTTACATTTATTGCAAAATTACTATTACTCAAAGAAAAAAGAAACTTTTTAAGCTAAGATCACGGCTGTATCTAAAATTATAGTTTTCCAAAGTCATCCATATTTAAAACTATTCCCATTGATCTCAAGTTCAGCAAAAGCTCTCACAACTTGTAAGTGACAATACAAGTTAAATCAATACGGCTCTGCCTATATCATTGTTTTTCCATTTCAAACTTGTAACAAACATGAATATTTTCTATGAGAATTGACTATGCATGGGCCGATTGACGTTGATGTTGTATGGAACTAGTGCATAGAGAGATTGACTCACACTCAAGTCAGACTGGGTTCGATACCCAGTAAAGAAGTGGTGAAAATGAAAAGTTGGGCACTTTATCATTTCAGTCACAGGACAGGGGCTCCACTGCTTAAAGGCTGATTTACAGGTATTAAGTGTGTAACAAAATTTTAAGTGATTAAATTGCATAGGTATAGCAACTTGGTACTAAATTCTGTGTTTACACATGCAATTAATCACTTAAAATTATGTTACAATTTAGTTACCTACTTAGACAAAACTTATAATGCTTGTGTTGACGTGAGACGTTGTGACGTGAGACGATGTGACGTGAGTCGTTGTGACGTTCGTTAAGTTATTTATAGTCTATCCAAAATAGCTTGATTAGAATGACAGCTGTCAAACGAATGTGACTAGTGCTGGGTATGTTTCGTACGGTTCACATAGATGTATCGATAAATTTTCGAAAAAATGATGTAAAAAAATGCACCCAATTTTTCTTCATATCTTTATTCATAAAAATGACAATTATAATTTAATTTAAAGACAGTAAAATTTAAAATTCATGTCAAGGGTGTACAACCTAAGTCGTAGTCATTATCATCAGTGTTCTTCAGTGGTTTTTTCCTCTCGCTAGAGGGCGGTGGGCATCTCTTCTAGAGCAACGGTGCTATAAATACCCAAAAAATTACCGGTGATTAATTTCCGATGTTTGAGTATTTAAGAATGAAATGTTTTTTGGTTTTTAATAGTGAACATTTAGAAAAACGTATAACTTGACTTAAATATGTTAAAAAATTAGTTAGAAATTTTTTTTGTTAAATATGTTAAAAAAATAGTTTTAATTTAATATGACTTTTGTCGATATGTCCCATCACTAACATTTTTGTAACTCGAGATAACCTTGTAGAGACGTCGTTAATACTCTAGCTTGATTTTTATAATTTCGAATTACTACTTATTGGTGTAATTTAACGCTGCATTTACAAGAAATTAACATTTTTATTGGAAGCACTGTCGTCGAAAATATTGTTTGTAGGTCAGACGTGAATTATTTCTTGTCCGCCAATATTTAGCTCTCATTGATCGCTACTACAAAGTTATGTCGTTACTTTTGATGGCAGCTGTCATTCTAATCAAGCTATATTGGATAGACTTATAATTTGATTTGATTTCCCGATAGTTGTTACAACTACCTACCTAAGTGTTGTACTTACTTATGTACTTTTTTATATCTACATTTATGTAAGTTATCTGTAGCCAAAAGATTGGGAGAAAGGGCATGCACTAATAACAAACATCAGTAGCATTGTTAGAAACCTATAAAAACAGGAAATTCGGGACTCAACAATTTTACGAAATATTTGGCTCCTTGAATCTGTGTTTCAGTCTTCCCACTCTAATAAATCGCTAGTGGATTAACTTTTACGCAAAAATGTACAAGTAAGTAATATTTAGACTTACGAGTGGCCAATGTGGGTGTACACGAGCAACATTATACACAAAATACCAACACTCTTTAACTACTTTACCCTCTTGAAATTCGACCGCGGGTCCGCACTACTTTATTACTTTGATCTACAAGTATTTTTTGCTGGCCTCCGTGCACGGCATTTCTCGGGAAAGATCGATATGTGGACGTCATAATGTCTTCAAAACTGTAGAGATATGGTAATATAAATACATAGTTGTAAAAATTAAAAGCATTTACTAATATTGCTAATGCAAAAGTTCCTAAGTGTATCTTGTTTGACAATGTTTGGTGTAGAGACAACATGGGAGGAATATTATGCTATCTTATGAATGACGCAGAAATCTTAAAACCAGTAAAATATAGAACACCGATCATATTTGTAATATTGTTATAGAACAATCTAGAAAAGCTCTCAAATTATTTAGAAAAAGCGTTTTTGTTTCTGAGATATACTGATTCAATGCAAATTTTCTCGTAAATTCCTGAAATTCCACTCTTTCTTTGAACTGCCCTTTTGAACGCACTAAGAAAATAGCTAATTTTCATAAATCGTATCTAAATTGAAGAAGCTAATATCCAAGTTAACGTAACTTTCAACGTAACAATTAGTGTTATTGCTCTACCTTCGATCAATCATGGAAACGAACGATTATTGGATTACAATTCAGCCAATAGGGGTAAGTGCATTCGATGAGTGCAACTTACTAACCGATACAAGGATGTGCCCCGGTTTTGGTTACATACCTGAGCGACGATTGCAAAAAAAAAACAAGGCAGAAAAAGTATAAGTTACGAGTACATGACGTAGGTAATTGAAATGAAAGTGAATCCTGAAAAATGGCATCATAGATTAAGCTACTCGTAAAAATATCCAATAGAACTTTTTTGACATGTTTTTTTTAATTTCACATCCTTTTAAGCGATTTTACATAAGTAGATCTCAAAAATATTTTTTTATCCACACCGAGAAAGCTCTTGGCCTGTATCTCACCTGATGGTAAGTGATAATCAGGCCGAAGGTGGATTTGTGGTTTCTTCTTTTTGGTTGGTATGAAAATTGCTTTATTTTTTGGTACAAACAAACCCACAGATCCACAATGTTTAGTCTCCATACTGCTCAATAAGGCTAATGTTTTAGACGCACTTTTACCTGAGTAGGTAGGTGGGTACTTACCTACATACCTACTTTCAGTCCGAGCCAGAATTTGCTACAAAACTGTCTTTCCTAAAACACAGACTTAAAAAATCCTAGCCTTACACAGTATCTTTTAATCTGAAGTCATGAACCAAAAACGTAATCTATCGTTAAGTGAATCTATAACCTATGCAAACTACTTTCGCGATTACTACAAAAAGGACTTCCAGTACATAAGCCCTGACATGTTGAAAGCCAACCAGGTCAACCACCATGGGTATGAGAGGAACTGCACGGGAGTTGTCAATATGTGGATGAAGGAAGTCACGGCTGGAGTTAAACAGTTCTTTTATGGAGGCACGCTGCATGGGGTCAAGTGAGTTTCTATTAGATAATGCTGGTACACTGTGGTCTAGTCACTAGTAGATAATTAATGTTCCCAATTTGTTAGAACGTTGTCCAAAGATATTTTACGACGCCTTGTTTTGGAAGTACCTAGATAGGTACCAGGCCACGTACTTTATTACACCGATTCATAAGAGTCGTGTAGGATAGTCCTATCTATCTCATAAACATGGGTTGGGTTGGGGTCTTACAAAATCTCACTCTGGGTGGACCATGGTCTTGTCCACACATTAAGAGGAAGAAGAAATTACTTTAAGAATTTCATTATTTGTCAATGTCTCTGAAATTTTTAGGTACATTTTCGAACCTACCTTCAGTCGCAAGGAGCGTGCTACCTGGATCGTCATCGTGGTCGTCAGCATCGCCTTCTGCGCCGCCAACATCATCAAGCTATTCTCCAAGTGGACCTCCACCCCGTTCGTCAACGTCATGGACTCTCTGCCCACTCCTATCTGGGCTGTGCCCTTCCCAACTGTGGTGCTCTGCCCTCATCTTCATGTGAAACTGTCTTACGCTAACGTTTTGAAACTTGGACGGTAAGAAAAGTTAAAGTACAAGGTATAATAAGCAATTACTGTAGATTTTAAGGCAGTCAAAGATTTCGGGGCAGTACTAAATACACATTTAGTTACAAACCAAAGTAAATAAATGAAAAGATGTAGACTAGTCGGAGAGGGCAATGAAGTGTTTAAAATACACTCGCGAGCAAAACTATGGAATCACTTACATGAAGTTGTTTCCACGCGAACTTGTGTACTAACGAATTTGTTAGGAACAAAAAAAGTGGCACCATTTTAAAGATTAAACTTTTATCTTTAAATTGATACCAAATTCATTTAAATCACACCAGTATTTAAAAAGATATCCCGGCTGATGTGAAGAAGTAACGAAAAAGACATGTATGAACTGTTTGATACGTCGCGAGTTGCGGCCTATTTACCCCTATAAAAGCACGCGTTTTCGGATTTTTGCTTTCACACGTTGATTCATACACATCTCCGCTTCTTTTGACACTTTACCTGGGATTCTACACTTTCAGAAGCAGCACAAATCGTTGCACTATTGCAAGAAAGGCTCAGCCAGCGGGCTGTCGCACGTCAGCGCCACATAAGACCAGTCTCCCGAAAGCGTCTTAAAACTTTCGAAACCCAGGACTGGCTTATGTGGCGCTGACGTGCGACAGCCCGCTGGCTGAGCCCTTCTTGCAATAGTGCAACGATTTGTGCTGCTTCTGAAAGTGTAGAATCCCAGGTAAAGTGTCAAAAGAAGCGGAGATGTGTATGAATCAACGTGTGAAAGCAAAAATCCGAAAACGCGTGCTTTTATAGGGGTAAATAGGCCGCAACTCGCGACGTATCAAACAGTTCATACATGTCTTTTTCGTTACTTCTTCACATCAGCCGGGATATCTTTTTAAATACTTGTGTGATTTAAATGAATTTGGTATCAATTTAAAGATAAAAGTTTAATCTTTAAAATGGTGCCACTTTTTATGTTCTTAACAAATTCGTTAGTACACAAGATCGCGTGGAAACAACTTCGTGTAAGTGATTCCATACTTTTGCTCGCGAGTGTATATGTAGGTCTTAAGTCTCAATCCTTAATTATACATTCATTTATAATTACCTACTTATTACAGGGAGGAGGAGTTTTTCGCATCCCTTGTCTGCCCTCGTATGCTGCACAAAAACAAAACGCTAGCGAAACAGTTGTCCCCAGCCCAAATAGAGCAGCTTCAAAAATTCATTTTAGATGTAAGTAGAAACCGTTATATTTGTTCATCTGCCTGAATTCAGTAAGTAATTACATCAGGCCAAATCTAATAATTCTAAATAGGTATCTACTTTTCTTAAAATGGGATTGGTCCCTGCAACGACCGGTGCATGAACCTAAAATCTGACCTCTCGCCTCTCGTTGAAACAGTCCAATTGAGTCTTGAGCCATGTGACATGTCAGAAGCTGGTTTATTAAGTCTGCACCTATAGAAGGAACCTCCATTGCCTATTGATGCCCCTCTATCTGGTAAGGTGACGAAGCACGCGTCTAATTCGGACCCTCCATGATTACCAGGCTTCTCCAGCTTGCAGCGATCTGGTGAAGAGCTGCAACTGGCCAGCCAAGCATGACACCAGATGGGTCACTAGCGAATGCTGCGAGAAGTACTTCATGCCGATCTTCACCGACTATGGCCTGTGCTACGCGTTTAACAGCTTGCCGCTGAATGGCATGTGAGTTTATTTGTTTTTTGTTTCTTTATAAAACTAGATGGCAATAGGTCGAAACTGGTCGCAGTGATTCTAGGACTCCACCGAACTAGAAAAGTTGTGAAAAAAAACTTGAAACCATGAACTGAAAACCACACTAACTAAACGCTGGCTGTAACAGCGTATTACATTTGGAAATTTCGACGAGTTCCAGTGTTTAAGTAGCTCAGTTGGAAGAGCAGTCGCCCAGCAAGCGGAATGTCGTGGGTTCAATTCCCGCCTTAGGTAGTTTTTATTATTTATAATTTTCACTAACTAGTCTTAAATTATTACCTATTCTGTGGTCTAACTACTCGTACGCCTGATGAAATTTTTCTCGTAAAATGAAGTTATGATACAGTTAGTTTTTTCGTCATCGCTGTATTAAAGTTTGATCTGAAAAGTTTGACTAATATCTACTTTCTGTTTATTCAGGAGAAACGACACCATATCCTGGCAAAGGAGCTTCAACCGTCACGCAGCACCCAGTTCCCTGCTATGGGGTTTAGACGTGGGGTACCCGAAGGTGTTTCCTCCAGACCCCAGCATGCAGCCACTCAGGGTCATGGTCTCTGGAGAGGACTACGGGCTTGGGGTGGAACTGTACCTCAACATCAGCGAGCATCAGCACGCTTGCGATGGCAACAGTCTGGGATTTAATGTGAGATTAACTAGTACTCTGTAGATACAGTAAACGACATTTATACGAACATCAGATTTCTGCAACACATAAGTAGTACATGCGTAGGGATTGTATTGTAGACCTCTTCCATTTGTCTGTGGTAAATTTTATTATAGGCCAGTAGAATTAAACACAAAAATGAATTAAATCGGAAATAATTCCTTCTAAAGATTTTAGTGCTTTAATGGCTTCATTAGTTGCCCATAAAGACTCTCCTAGGTTTTCGACTTCGACGAAGTTGTGCTTAAGTGGTGGGGGCCCCCGAAAGGGGCGCTTTTTCGGTTTTCCGGTTATACCGCGTAAAGGACTTACCCTATCGAAAAGTGGTCTTCCTGACGGTTGAAGGGCATTTAATCCTGCATTAAATAAGACCAAATTCATATGTTTTGGACAAACCGTTCTCGTGCAAATGTTCGGAAAATTAGAAAATATGTGTACAATTAATGATCCTCTCCACGTCCAATAGCTCGTCGCCCGTAGGCTCCCAAGCCTTGTAAAGGGTCGCCTTAACCAGCGTATCCCTGTCAAGGCTCACGAGTTGGATTCGCTTATCCTAGTTCGTCCCAGCCGTTCCTTAACTGCGGTTGCTGCACCTCTTCCTGGCACTCTCCTGAACGACTCTGTGTTACCTAATGTGGCTGCCCCTCTTCCTTGTACCCTCCTGTACGATTCCATTGCTTAGCCATATGCATGGTCCAAGGTTTGACGCCACAAAATCAACTTCGTACGCGTGAAAATAGTTTAAATACTATTTTCCGTGCTTGCAAAATTTTTCTTAACAGCTTCGCCTCTATTAGTCGTAGAGTGATTGTATTATATACTATAGCCTTCCTCAATTTATGAGCTATTCAACACAAAAATAATTATTTCAATCAAACTAGTAATTCTTGAGAGTAGCGCGTTCAAACAAACAAACAAAAAACTCTTCAGCGTTTTAATATGAACTTGTTGTTGTTGATTTTTGGCGTCGAACCTTAGACCAGGCATACGGCTAGGCAATGTAGTCGTGCAGGAGGATACAAGAAAGAGGGGCAGCCACAGTAGGTAACACAGAGTCGTTCAGGTGAGTGCCAGGAAGAGGTGCAGCAACCGCAGTTAAGGAACAGCTGGGACGAACAAGGATAAGCGAATCCAACTCGTGAGCCTTGACAGGGATACGCTGGTTAAGGCGACCCTTTACAAGGCTTGGGAGCCTACGGGCGACGAGCTATTGGACGTGGAGAGGGTCATTAATTACACATATTTTCTACTTTGCCGAACATTTGCACGAGAACGGTTTGTCCAAAATATATGAATTTGGTCTTATTTAATGCAGGATTAAATGCCCTTCAACCGTCAGGAAGACCACTTTTCGATAGGGTAAATCCTTTACGCGGTATAACCGGAAAACCTAAAAAGCGCCCCTTTCGGGGGCCCCCACCACTTAAGCACAACTCCGTCGAAGTCGAAAACCTAGGAGAGTCTTAATGGGCAACCAATGAAGCCATTAAAGCAATAAAATCTTTTGTAGGAATTATTTCCGATTTAAAATCTAATTCTACTGGCCTATTAAGAGTTTCATGTTTCTTCAGTGGAGACTTGGTAAATAATCTGACGATGGTATACTTACTGTACCTCTAAAGTAAAAGTTTCTCAGGGAAAGCTGTAAAATTTGGAGCTATAATATAGCCTACATTTAAAAGATTTCAGGAACTATCTAGGAGTATAGGGCCAACTAGATCAGAAATTACCAACATTTTCCTTCTTAGGTTTTTCTGCGATAACGGTATTATCTACACAAGACTTAATTAATTTAAGATAGTACTCTTTCTAGGTCCTAATTAGGTCGCCAACAAACCATGTGTACACCAGCACCGTTCTACGTCTGCCCATGGACAGGATGACCACCATAGAAGTGTCCCCCATAACCTACAAGACTGATTCAGCCCTGAGGTCTTTGGCTCCAGACCAGAGGCAGTGCTTCTTCCAGAATGAGAGGAAGCTGGAATATTATGAGTTTTATACCGGCAGTAATTGTAAACACGATATTTTTGTGAGAGAGTCGAAGAGGCTGTGCAATTGTACTCTTTACAACTGGCCACGTAAGTCATTTTTTGGTTTATGGACATCCAGCTTAGTACTTAGTAATCTAATCTAAGTTGACCTTAATTTTGTTAATTCCAGGGAAAAACGCGTCAGAGCCAGTTTGCTCTACGACAAAAGATTTTGAATGCATTGATAATGTTAAAGGTAAGTTTCATAAAAATAAAATAAAATATTTCATTTGCATTTTTTTTTCATAACATGGCCTATAATAGAACCTGCTTGCAAATTCGATTTCTTGTTAGGGACAAAACGGGTCTCAGTTTTTCTTATCTGAGAAATATCTCTACCTGCCTGTCACTGAATGCTTTTCTTTAGTTACTTTTTACCTCTGATTTCCCATTATGCTATACCTATTATAAGTAGGCATTCCCTGCCAATTTTTGGGTAGATTTAATTTCCAATATTTTCATGACCTATTATTATGTAGGCAAGGTAGAAGAACAACAAATCTATGCGTATTACGCTGAGTGTGAGGAGGGCAAGGGTTCAGACGAGCCGGCCTCCTGCCATCCCTCGTGCAATGACGTCATCTATGACAGCCAGGTGTACTACTCCGATCTTATCAAGGAGCCAGGAGACCCGTCGCCAGTTTGGGGGCGCCCTAAAAAGTAAGTCAACCTAAACGGTAGGGAATACGAGGCGTTGTCATGTGAATGTTTGGTTAGTCTTTCTCGTCTTCTAGAAAAAGTTGCATATTGCAGTTTTTAAAGGTTGACAACACCCACCTCAGGACCATGCTTGTAGTGTCACGTGGGGTCTTTTAGTCTTTCTGTTTACTAAAGTTCTCAAGAATTTCCGCATTCATCTCATCATACTTTCACAATCGTTTTAATGAAAGAGTAGGTAAAATACTCCAAAAGATGTTGTAAATTTTAAATACCGAAATAAAAATGGGTCAATCTATGACGTAATGAGCACCATACTTTTTAAGTAATTAATGGGGAAGCCAAAGATTTCTTTGGTTTGTTTAAATATTTAATTTCGCTTCAGAGGGGAGCTGACGCAGATCAACGTGCATTTCTACGAAGATATGTTCTTGGGCCAGCATAGACATGCGCAGTATGATGATTACTATTTTGCTGGTAAGTTTTCACAAAATAATTCAATTCAATGCCATCTCGTAGTTATCCTTTAAAAGGGCTTTTGCGTTCATTTACTTTGTTATCTTTACGAGATACTTTACCTACAATACGAAAGTTTTCGACGTAATGTCCTTTGAGACCCACTTATTTACAGAAAATAAATGAGTGTTATGAGTTAGGTACTTAGCTACGCACTCAAAATACCTACTATAAGTACACAGTTCGAATAATGACGGTAACACACACATTTTGTTTCATTTTGAAATGACCAAGTTTCCTTTTCCTGATTTCAGGTGCAATAGGTGGACTTCTGAGCCTCTTCCTTGGCTTCAGCATAATCAGTGTCGCAGAGCTGGTGTATTTTATTGTGCTTCGCCCTGTGCATAGAGTTCTAAAGGAGAGTTATTGGCAATATTATTGAAATAAAATATACAATACACTTTACATGATTTTTATTATAATTTTACAGGAAACTCACAATTTGAACCTACAAATACCTCTTCATACTGCAGTGGCTCATAATGTTAACAGCCGCAGTAAAGCCTCATTTTATAAAAACTAACAAAATTGCCAATTTTTGACACAAAATCAACATGTCAAAGGTGTTTGTAAACATTGGCTGTCGTAAAAACTTTAGACAAAATTATTACACATCCGCTCTACCAATAAAGTTTTCACACACATAGAGCACACAAAGTGATAACAAGTGACCTATTCTTATAAGAATGTTTTCCGAGGACGGGTTTCTGGGTTGTCCCCGAGGAGTAGAAGACCTCCGTAGCCTGAACGACCGACTGAACGCGAAAGTGGTAGACCAATTGAATGAGAGCCAAGAGTTGGTGATGATCAACAGCTTCGCCAGGGAAACCAATGAGTACCAGTTTAAAACGAGCTTGCAGGATAGGTATTAATTAAAATTACTTAAAACTTGAGAAGTTCTATAAAGGTCATGTAGGTAAATAACCTTTAGGTATTCGTAGATCGTCTAGAAATCCACTATTTGACTACCTAAAATGTAATAAGGCAGTCTCTTCCTCTGCGGAATCAACTTACAAATTAAAATTTAACTGTAGGTAGGTACATAAGTAAAGTAGAAATCTGATAATCGTGGGTGGAGGAGAATCTGTCAATTATTTCTAACACAAATTATTAAAAAAAAAATAGAAATTGTCTTATGATATCATCCTTATTTCTATCGAAATAGGATCGCTGATATAGCATCATGGCGGTGGGTGTTCGAAGACCTGTCTAAACGACTTGACGAGGCTATAAGTACCCTTCACTACGAGCACAACGCGTTGAGGGTAGTCATAGAGAGAATACAACAAGAGATCGATGACCATTCCCGTGAAGCCAGTAGGCCTGGAGCACTCAACCCCGATTCTGATGCTGTAGAGGCGGCAATCTTGCAGGTGGGTCAAAAGTTCATCTCAAGAACAGTTCCCTAATCCCTTGGTCCAGTGAAAGCTACTCTATTTGTTATCAGTTGGCGCCAATATCGAATAACAGGACTTAACTGGCCAGTAGACGCATTAAATAGTGACCGCAACTGAATTTAAAAGAAACTAGCTTAGGAGCGATATCCAATGCATACTTAATATAGGTAGGATCTGACTGAAGTAACACTTGATTATTTTTATGACTCTAGGAGTACAATTTCCTTCGAGACGAGAAAAAGAACTTCGAAAAGTTGATAACCGAGCTGGAAAAGCAAACAAAAGCCCTTGAAAGGACAAAGAAGAGGATTAAAGACGACATTTTGAAGAAAAGAGAAGCTTTGTCAGTAGAGGAATCGTGTGCCAGCATGGATTTAAACTCGCTAACTAAAACCGGTGATAGAAAGAAAAAGAAGAAAAAGTACGTAACTATGATGAATACTGCCAAAATGTTTATAGAATCAGATGATCTTCTTCAAGCTGAATCTTTTGAACAGGTGCTCTACTCTTGATCGATGGGAAACCCGCTGCGTATCTTTAAAGCAAGCTGGTCTCCAAGCCCTCAATAATGCAGTGGTCACAAGGCAACAGGTGATACCAAATTTTTTTTCAACCAAGTTTACCTAATAAGACTAAAGGGCTGCTGTAGATGGCACCGCCGCTAAGTCTACATCACTGAACGATGATGGCGGTATCTTTAAGGGTCTTAAGGTATTATACAATATGATCTGTAAGCAATTCAATCATCATCAACTTGCAGGTAAGGGGCTCAAGAGTTCACTTGTCAATAGTTGCTCAAGCATATGCCGCAAAGGTGGATTCAGCTTTAAGAAGAAGACTCCATGCCAACACTGCCAAACTAGAAGAACTATGCTGGCAGAGGGAAGAGGTACGGACAGATATATCCAAAAGACCCAACTTCAAAATTGATCAGATTAAAGTAAAAACTTTTTGGTGTTTCTTCAGGCAGTACGAGACATCAAATCACTGGAAGAAGAATTGTACACAGCTGAAAAGAATTTTCTAGAAACGATGGAGCAGGAGCGACTGGTAGAAGCAAGACTGGCAGACCGCACCCTCAGACCTACGGGAGAGTTAACGAGGGATGAGGTAGACCGCAAGCTCAGGGATGAATTGGCCAGGCTCAGGCATTTTATGAAGCACATGAGGAGTAACATTGAGAGAATTACGTTAGTATCTGCAGTTTATCATTTTTGAAAATAAAAAGAGTAAGATGAAAGGTATTCGACTTTTTGTAGGAGTTTAGCCTTATTTAGCGATAGAGGAAAAAATTAACAGAGTTAATAATATGAAGAGAGAAATAATAAATAGAAGGTTCTTGAGTATAATATTGACTCAGTCATTTATTTTAGATCTTTTTATACCCTCAGTTCTTTGCAAAACCACCTCGGAAGCGCCATATCTCGAATCGACTGCTGCGCCGAAGACATATCCCAGGTCGTGCGCCTGGACCAGGACAGGATGAGCTGGAGACTCGGGGAGGAACCCAAGTGTGACACAGAGACCAGCACAGCCCCAGCTCAGACTCCACATATAAGCCAGTCTACCACCAGCCGGAAAGCCAATGCGCCGTTGACAGCCATCAAGGAAGAAGATGAAGAAGAATACCCGTTTGATGAATGAAATTAGGAAGGCAGAAAGACGATTGAAAGAAAAAAGATTTCGCCATTTGCAAAACACGTATTTGGAAGATTAGGTATACTCTACCTACACTCATATTCCTATTTAACATACTTTAATATGTGTAGTGTAGTATTTAGTTAGAAGTGATAGCATATTTTACTGGTTATAAAACATACCTACCCAGTATAGCGATAGTTATATAAATTAAAATGATGGTTTTAAATCAAAATCATATTTTTGTCGTAAAATACCTACTAATTGATGCACAGTAGGTACTTAGATTGTTGTGCTATCATTTGAAGTACCTATTTTCAGCCTAATACTAGATTATGCTAAGTAGCTATTTTAACATATTAAGTACTAAAAAGAAAAGTCATAATGCTTTTGTAATTTTATTGAGAACAAAATTAAATTAAGTGTTTAACAATATCACAAACCAAAGTAATTATACAAACTATAGTATGAATGAATAAATGTAAAAATATGATAGTAAAGCACTAGAGTTTCAGGCCTGCTATATATTTTAGCATAGTATATTTTTATACCATCATATTTTTTATTACAATCAATTGTGATGTTTTACTAATCATGTAGGTAACTAACAAATTGATATCCAATTGCCTTAATTTTTTATTTAGGTATTTCAGATTTACAGGGATTCTTACCTAATACATTTCTATTGATATTACATATTAAGTTTTATATTTTGTATATTAAGGTATTCATAATGAATAAATAAATATTATAAATTACATAGATACATATTTATGGTTTTATTCAATATAATTTGCGTAGTACTCAAGTACATAAAAATTAAATAAATACAGTATTATTAATTTATAATGAAAAAATAACTGAACACAATCTGGTGAACAGAGATTAATTTTATAAATTAAATATCTGTTAAAGTTTAAACAATAATTGGATATTCAAAAGATGTACATTGTAATCAACAATCAAATTCAATAACTTTTTGAGGTTTAAATATTATCAAAATTAAAATGTGAGATACATTTTCATTTCAAGCTAACAGCTGTAAAGGCTAGAAGTATTGTATATGGAAAGGTTTTAGCACTATCTATTATCTTTTAAATTATTATTTAGATAATACTTTTTAATAAAATCTCAAACACATGATTTCCATACTGTCTTTTAGGCTAAGTCTCTTTACATGCAAAAGGAGAATCTGAAATGTTAAGTATTTATTTGTGCAATAATCACTAACATTAAATATTAACTTAGTTCATAATATTTCTCCAGTATGTAATTTCAAGGCTATATTTTATTTAGGTAATTCAATAAATACTAACCCATGCTAGTGCGAGTATTTCTTATTCTGCTATTTATGACAAAGGGCCAGACATTACATTGATACTGAAAATATTCTTAAATAAAAAGTATACTTATCAGGGAATACTGTTTGCTGTGATGGAATTATTTAACATAAATTTTTATTTATGTATTTTATTAAAAATAAAACTTTTATGTGTATTATATGCAGTTGACGCTTCATCAACTGTATTAATCCATGGTAAATATTCTGTATCAAACCAGCCAAAACTATACCTTTGCAGTACAATCACAGCAAACAAACAACATGACTGTTTAACTAAAGTGACTGAGGTGTGCATCGCTATTTACATGTTCCTCGATTGATTGAGGGTTGCATAAGACCTCCAACTGACACCTGTTGCAGTACGCGTTAAGATCATACTCATTCGCCAAGAAGCTTTCAATCGAAACATCCTGCTCCTCGATCAGATCTTCTATCTCAGCAAACCATTCCATGTGTTCATCATCATCGTCAATATGATCGAGAATACTCCGCGCTGTGTTATCAATGAAGACATTGCACACTTTGCACCACACCTCATCATCGTTATCAACAGGGAATATGCCGTTCAATGGTTTTAACCGTTCAGTGATATTTGTGCGATGATTTATTCCGTTGACGTGCGTTTCAATATTTTGAAGGGTGCAGTTCAAGGTACTGTTACAGACTTCGCAGTAGACATCCTCTTTTTCGGAATTGAGGTATGGATCGAGGCTTATGAACTCACCGTCTATGAGGTCTTCCATAGCAGCAACCCAGTTTGCGTGGCCATCGCTTTCGATGTGTTTCGTCACCGACTCCTCTTCTGTAAGTTCCGTCCTGCACGGCTTACAGTAAAGCATGTCGTTGGCGAAGCTAATACCATTTTCAGTCATCAGTTCAATGTTCTCCTTGTGCTTCGCCCCGTTCGTGTGCTGCTCGATACATTTGTTGGCCTTCGGTATGAACACTCCGCAGAAGACGCACCGTACACGCGTCTTAGAACTGGCGACTATTCCGTAAAGCAAGCCTGTTTTCATTATTCTACTGTCCGATGTGATGAAAGATTCAAAAGGGAATCTTGTTGGGTACGTACCTACTTGTAATTTATCGAAATTTTGATGTAATTTGAGTTTTACTTTTGACAGATTTGATTTGATTGTGGATTGTTATTTTCGAGAGATGTGTTCTGTGGATGCTAGTGATGATTTCGTACATTAAATTAAACTTGTAAATCGATTAATCGACACAGATAAGTTATTCAAAAAATTATTTATTTATGCCTATTTGGCCTATTATGTTTTGTCACTTTTGACAGAAAAGAAATGTTTTATTCATCTTGATTATACAACATTAACAATGAATGTTAGAATTCTCTGTCTACCTACGGATCTGGTATTGACGGTGGCGCCCCCCTGTTGACATCAGTCAGTAAGTCTAATTGTTTCTTTTCTTTAGTAGTTGAAATGTTGCAGAAATGTTCAGACGAAGAAAAATTGAATTTATTTTTTCAGATTTTCAGTTCGATTCATTAAAACTTGTTACAACACTAATGAGTGAATGGCGAGTGAATGATAGATAACCAATTTTTTTAAAGCTGTGTTTTAAAGGCTACAGAAAAAAAAATAAGGGTTAATTTTATTTCAAGTTATTAAAAATATATTAATATTTTGTGATGCAAATATAAACGCTATAAAAAATGTTTTATTTAATAAAAATTAACTCGCTGAGCCTGTGTTCTGAACTTCCTACACAGTGTTCCTACCCGAAAATAGAGACTTATCTATAAACAACTTCTTTTGTTCCTTTTACAGTAAAAGGAAAGTTTTACTACACAGAAGTTACCTATCTGTTTTGTGATATCAAAAAGGCATTCCATCGCTTATTTTTCCTAGCTAATCATAAAATAAATTGAAGTAGGTAGGTACTTAATAAAACTTTCATCTTTTCTGTGATGGAATTTTACGGTATGCTACTATAAAAATTGTATTTTTTATGTACAATCAACTCCTTCAGGTTTATTATTCTTCCTTTCTATAATAGTTAGAGCTTTTTTAAATACCTAGGTCAAAAAAACGGGATACTTACAAATTTTTATGGAACTGAAAGTCGTATTTTGCAAGAATCATAATTATTTCATTACACAGATAATCATCGATATTATTATTTTTGTGATAATTTAATGTAGGTATTTATTTACCTCGATATGTCACGGCGGGCCGAAGCCAAGTAAGTTAATTTGTTTGCGTGGTTGGGTAAAAACTTGCAAAAATCCTTCAGTACCTACCTATTCAATGCTGACTTTTTAGTACTGCGTAGATGTAATCGGGTAGGTCTAAAGATCGATGACTGGATTAAGTTGGATCGGTATTACACCAGTCGCGGAGACAACTATCGTCTGATCGGGAGAGCTCGTTCTCACTTATCGGGTGTCGGGTCCGGATTTTAATCGGTTGTCGGCGCCTCTGTTTACACTTCAATCCGTTATCGGCCCGACCTAAGCTGGTTGGTTGGTGCCATTTTTACTCTACGGGAGGCGACTGTACTCGATGGACGTCGACGAAGCCTAGTTATTATGTATTATTATTTGAGAAGACGAAATACAGCCAAGGAAAGAAAATATTGGGTGCAACCAATTCTGAGGGAAAGATTTAGTTTAGGAACATTTCAGAACTTACTAACAGAATTGAGATTGAGAGGTGACGAAATTAAGTTTTTCAATTATTTTAGAATGTCGATATCAGTGAGTATAAACTACCAAACTACCAATACACAAGATTTGGGGTGGCGGGGAGAGGGTTATCGGCCCCGACATCCAACAAATGTAAACACTTAAACAGCGCCATTATTAAATCATAGGCGAGCGAGATCCAATACGATTTTTTTCCGGGCGTAGAGGGCTGGCAAAACACCCGACATTTCTTGTCGGAGCTGACATAAAATCGGTTTCCGATAAGTGTGAATAGCTTCATATACATACAAATGCTCTGCCACTGGAACCTCCGATTATAATACGGATCCGACAACCGACTAGTGGGAACCTGCTGTAAGGTTATTTAGCTTTCACGTAGTAGGTAAGCACATGATTATCCATCCAATCCTACCGGTAGCAGTGATAATTATTAGGGTCTAGGTAGGGTTTTTAAGTGGTCAAAGGAAACTAAAATAATAATTTAACCGGAGTCCACTGATCACCCAGGTTATCTTATCCATGGGTGATCAAAGCACACCAAACTGTCGCTTGGAGTCCACTTTGATCACCTGGGTGATCAAGTGATCAAAGTGGAATAGACCGATAAGTTTAAAGTTTTGAACTGCAGGAGCCTCAAAAAATAATAGGATAGGATCATAGGAGATATAAAAAATATTATGTACCTACTTTATTTCATACACAAACCGTAGTGAATAACAAACAGTTTATTTTACACATTTAATAATACAGTATTAAAGAGAAAAAAAAATGAATACAATTCACATAAAAGAATACAATTAATAGAAATTTAAAAGTAAGTGTATAATATGTATAAAAAATGTTATCAGCTAAGTACTTTAAATTACAGTTTTAAAATAATTAGGTAGGTAATGTGGTAAGGTTCTCTACTTATTGTGTAACTTCCCCTTGATGTGTCTTTCCAGATTATCAACATTGCACGCAACTGGTACGTCACACTTATTACAGAAAGCTTTATCTTCTTTAGGGTCCATTAAGTATTTTTCAATTGATATATGTTTATTTTTTATTAAACTGAGTATTTTCTTATACTCAGTGTAATGTTTCACGTTTTCTGTGACGTGGATATAAATATTTTCAATGTAATTTTCAAAGTAAACTTTGCAAAATTTACACCATAAATCGTCTTTGCTGCCTTCAACAGAAAATATACCATTCAAGGCCGAAACAGCAATCGCACGGGCTCGCCTGTGCCTCTCAGTTGCAAGATGTTCTTCAAGTAGTCTTTTTTCAAATGGTACAACACAGTCACATAGTGCACATTTTAAATCCACTAGTTTTTCAGTTTTAGATGATCTATCAAGATAATCTAAAAATCCACCATCTTTGTTAATTATATTTTGAAATTCTTTCAACTTTTCTTCATGGTACGACTTTTCGATATGGGGAACAGCTGTTAATATGTCCATTAACTCACAGCAAACTCTACAATAATAATGATTGGAATGGACCACAATACTATGACGTGCAAGAGTTATAAACAGTTCCGTAAGTTCGTGGTCTCCGCTATTAATATGAGCCTCGATTAAATGGTTTTTGTCTTCAATATGTTTGGAACACAACGTGCACTTTAATTCATGTTTGTCGTAAATTATGTCTTCGTAATACGCCATGTTTTTTTGTGCCTTAAACAAGGGTACACTACACTTTTTAAGTAAATTCTTGATTATAGGTAGGTACTGCTCGCTCAGCACACCGCACAGGTCAATGAGAGAAGATGAGACATTAATATTAATCAACTGTATAGATAATAATGTCCAAACGTTCAAAATAGTAAAAATAATGTTACATTAGATGCGAAAGGAAATCCCCCACACAACAAGTCACAAATGCATGCACGCACGCACAGTGTTTACTCAGCTGAGAACGAATGAATGAATGATAAAAATATGTCAGATTTAATGACATTTGATACAAGTTGACATTTTTGTTGTTGATTTTAGAGATGGGTTATACTAGGTAAATTTGATACTAGGTGCACCTATTCCAAGTATTTATTAATACGTGATCCAAATACCTGTTCCACTTAGTACGTAGTAATTTACCATACTTGACGCGACTAGTGCGGAGTGCGGACTAATCCACGTATTATGACTTTAAAATACAATTTTCTTTGAAAAGATCGAAAAGATACAACCGTAGTATTAATAATGCAATTTGAAATTGAATAACTTGTAGAATAGAATGTTTCTTCTATAAAAAATAAACACTTCAAAAATCGGACGTGTGACGGCTCATGTCAAACTGAGAGTGTTCCATTTCAACATTTTTTCACATCGCTCACAAAACGCTTACAGATTAAAGAAATATCACAGATATCGCTAAATTTATCAACGTTGATGTCAAAAATAGCAAATCTCCATACATGTAAAGGAACACGCCCAAATTGACAAAGAAACACAGACAAAAAATCTTGGTGACAAAACTCCCCATGGGTCATCTACTACCAAAAATTTCTGGGAACTTTTGTCACCACCGGTATTTTAGCGGGTAACTTCTCAGAAACAGGAGTTAAATTCTATCTAATCAACACTCGAAAACTATTCCAATTTAATCTAATTATCAAATTACTATTTCAATACAAATTATGCAATTATCACGGACGCGTGACAACAAACCAAAACAAACCTGTCGGAAGAATAAAAACTGGTTTTTTACCGGCTAGTCAACAAGGAGTGAGCTGGATGAGAGAGAACAAAAATTAAAATATTCAAAACCTTACCTGTGTACAAATAGAGTTTAAATTACGTAATACATCAAACACCTATTCCTATCTCACACCTGCCTGCGCTCAAATTTGTTTGTCAGACAGAGACGGAGTGAATCTCTACGTTCGCACATAAGCTTAGCGAGAAATACGCGGTGCACGTAATACACGACTACGGATTATGCAATAATAACCTCTATTACTTTGATGGTAGGGTCGGAAATCGTGTAATTTAAAAAATACTTAGCGAGAAATACGCGGTGCGTGTAATACACGACTACGTATTATGCAATAATAACCTCTATTACTTTGATGGTAGGGTCGGAAATCGTGTAATTTAAAAAATACTAAGTGGATCAAGTATTTTAAAAATTGGAATAGGTGCCACTTAGTACTGTAAAATACCTAGTGTGTGGACCTGTTCTAGTAAATACGTCTCATCTCTAGTTGATTTGTTTGTTGCACAGATATGGATAAAATATCTTGAACCATCTGTGCTGAAATTGAAGATTTTTAAATTCTAACAAGTGAAGTCATGTCGCGCGAGTCAGAAGACGAAACCGATTTATTGGAAAATGTCGCAGAAGTCATCGAAGGACTTACGGTATGGTTAATTAATTTATTTTCAAACAGTTCTTTAATATTTCTCAAATCAATGGTTAATAATGTTTGGAGTTTTATGTACGCGAGTATGTTGTAAATAAGTTTAATATGATCCATTTTTGCTTCCCAGTTAAGCCCAATGTCTTAAAATTAAAATGGGATACCTACTTAGTATCCCACTTTTTTGTCCATTTTATGTCATTTATTCCTTTCTTCCTTGCTCCCTAATTCACACTAAAGTTACTTATTAAATTTAAGTATTTACGCATTTCCTGCTACGCCTGCTAATGCAATTAAGGCTGTGTTCTTCCGTGATCTATTTATATCTGTATTGCAAAGAACACCGTCATATGTAATCTTCCACCTGTTACATTAGCTATTTTATGTTTTGTATGTTTTACAGAAAGAATTGCAAGAATTGTACCAATTCAGGGACATGTTTTTCGAAAATCATCCCATTGAAATGGCAACCGAAAAGAATAAGTTAGTCGAGGAGAAAAAAAGTGTTTTGGTCGAAAAGTTTGAGAGTATTGATGGTAAGTCACTAACACCCGTATTCACAAAGTATACTTGCTTAAGTGAAGCAGAAAATCGAAAGCACAACATTGAATAGAGTTCTGTGATTGGTTTGTGTGTCACCCTGTGCGTCCACGGCTCGACGCTCACTGTGAGACCTCATAGTAATGTTTGTGAATACAGGCGTACTAATAATTACTATTTTTATTGCATAATTATGTATCTACACATCATGTAAACATACTCAATGTTTCAGTGGACACACAGATACCATTTTCTCTGCGTGCTCAGTTCCTATACATGAAAGGCCGCTGCTACAATATAAGTCCAACATATGACTCCCGTTCAACGCAGTGTCTCAGCAAAGCAGTGAAACTAAATCCGCACTTGGTTGACGCCTGGAATGAACTTGGAGAATGTTACTGGAAGAATATGAACGTAAAAGATGCTAAAGCCAGCTTCGAGGGTGCTTTAAAACATGTTAGTTTAATACACATTTTATTTTACTACTCTTTAATTTGTGTATGGTTTGCTAATTTCATCAATTTTTACAGGAACGCAACCGTCTTGCCTTACGCTGTCTGTCAATAATACTTCGTCAAGAAAGTGGTGAAAGGAAGCTAAAAGAAGCCACAGCAGCTATACTCAAGAGTGTAGAATTGGCTAAAGAAGCAGTAGCTCAAGACATAAAAGATGGCGTTTCATGGTCTGTGCTTGGAAATGCGTACCTGTGCCAATTCTTCATGGTTTCTCAAGATCCAGCTGTTCTTAAGTCCTGTATGAGTGCGTACAAACAGGCTTGGATGGATCCTATTGCTAAAGGGCAGCCAGATCTTTATTATAATAAAGGAATTGTAAGTATGAAATTAATAAAGTGCCTAGAGGAAAGTAGACGTAAGATTAATTTCAGGATTTACGTACAACAACCAAGTAAAGAGTTGGTTTGAACTTAACTGGTAATTAAACGAATTCTGGATGCCCAATGGCAGCCTGATGGCATAATATCTGAATAACTTATGTGTATTGGTTTGTGTTACTTGTGTATTTGTGGTTAATGCCCGTATTCACAAACGATGCTTGCTTAAGTGAAGCAACAAATCGAACGCACAGCATTGAATAGAGCTCTGTGATTGGTTCATGTGTCACCCTGTGCGTCCACGCGCGCTGTGAAACCTCATAGTAATGTTTGTGAATTATTGTATCTCAGGCGTTGAAGTACGAAGAGCAATATGCCGAAGCGTTAGAGAACTTCGAATACGCGTGCCGCCTGGACCCGCCATGGGGCCCGCCGAAGCAAGAGTTAGCTCGCCTCTCGCAGTACCTCACCAGCGCTGATGAGTTGGTGCGAACTAGAGGAAAGCTGAAGGGGAAGAAAATACAGCAGATGGTGCAGGTACGATCGTATAGCGCTTCATATTTCGTTTGTTAAATGCGTATTGGCGATGACTTTAAGAATCTGCACCATCACAGAATTTTGGCATCAGTAAGTTAGTGATCAGTTTTCATAAATGATGTTCTGGGGAGGTGCTTTTACATAAATTCATTTGTGGATATCCTAGAACATTCAAATATTTGACTAGGTTATCAAGAAATATCTTTTACATTGGAGGCGTTTGGCTGAAAATAGCGCTAGTAAGAAAAATGGCGTCCTTTTAGCGGTGCTATCACTATTTAAAAAATGTAGGTATCTCTGACGTTTTCATTGCCCATGGCAATCGCCATTTTGCTAACAATTTCTAACAAGTGCTATTTTCGGCCAAACGTAGCCAGTAATACACATCTGTATTGAACATTGATCGATCTCCTTTAACATTAATTTTGTTCAACAGTCCATAGACAAGAAGATGCTCGGTCCATACACTCCTGGCACTTTCCACACATTCGGAGCGCGGAAATCGGTGACGCTAGACGTGACGCCGATCGACTCGCTGCAGGAGGGAGCCAACGAGGGCAAAGTACTGTTGGCCAGGGTCATCGGCTCCATACACAGCGAGAGCGCCGTGCCCTTGTGAGTGTAGCAACCATAGACTAGCAGACACTAGGTCCATAGACTGTGACGCTGGATGAGGATAGACTCGCTGCAGGAGGGAGCCAACGAGGCCAGGGTCATCGGTTCCATACACAGCGAGAGCGCCGTGCCCTTGTGAGTTTTGTAGCAACCATAGACTAGAAGACACTAGGTCCATAGACTGTGACGCTGGATGAGGATCGACTCGCTGCAGGAGGGAGCCAACGAGGGCAAAGTACTGTTGGCCAGGGTCATCGGCTCCATACACCTTTGTGAGTTTTGTAGCAACCATAGACTAGCAGACACTAGGTCCATAGACAATGACGCTATGTGGCGTGACGTAGACTAGAAGACACTAGGTCCATAGACTGTGACGCTGGATGAGGATCGACTCGCTGCAGGAGGGAGCCAACGAGGGCAAAGTACTGTTGGCCAGGGTCATCGGCTCCATACACAGCGAGAGCGCCGTGCCCTTGTGAGTGTGTACATAAACTAGAAAATTCTTGGTTTTTAGGCCGGCAATATACGGACCGCTTGAAGCAGTCAGGGTCGACAGCTTCAAGCTGCGACTGCACAGTGAACTGCAGAGTTCTATGGACGCACATACACGAACCGCTCGAGCAACTGATTCGGGCGGTCGACAGCACGGTGAATTTTTATCGTGCGGTCAAGCAGTCGCCAGCCATACACTGACTGCTCGAGCTGTCGACAGCTCTCGCGCAGTTACCTCCGCCCACTTTTTTCATTCCACGGCGCGCGCGCTTGTGATTTGTTGAGCAGTTAATACCAACTGCTCGAGCAGTTATTACTGGCAGCTTCAAGCTGATGACTCTTGATTGCAAGAGCGGTCCGTGTATGTTGATCACTGACCAACTGCTCAAGCTGTCCGTGTATGGCGGGCCTTACACTTTTTCCGGGCACATTCTATACATTTCGTTAGTTCGTTCGCTTCAGGGCTCCGCTAAAACTCGCGCGGGCGCCCTCACGCGATTCTGTATCGAAAATTAATATGAGCAGTGCACGCGGTTGCATTTCCATACATTAACTCGCACGGGTACTCGCTGCGAAACAAAATGAGCGGTCTTTAACCTGTTTCTACAACGACAGGTTTAATTTTGAGTTCGTTCGTTCGTTCGTTTCAGCCGAAAGACGTCCACTGCTGGACAAAGGCCTCCCCCAAGGATTTCCACAAAGACCGGTCCTGCGCCGCTCGCATCCAGGTACGTCCCGCGACCTTCACCAGATCGTCGGTCCACCTAGTGGGAGGCCTGCCCACGCTACGTCTTCCGGCTCGTGGTCGCCACTCGAGAACTTTCCTGCCCCAGCGACCATCAGCTCTTCGAGCTATGTGCCCCGCCCACTTCCACTTGATTTTAGCGATTCTGCGGGCTATGCCAGTCATTCTAGTACTCCTACGGATCTCCTCATTTCTGATTTAATTAATTTTGAGTATGTTTGATGTTTTCTAAATTGAATTAATAATTTAATCATGTCTCTCTCTGCCGTGACAATGCCAACAATGCCGCATCCATTTTCAATACTTCGTGCATTCGTGTTCAAGTTTCTAACACCCGCAGGGAATGGTCCGCGCTGAGACTGTTTGGTTTGGTTTTTTAAGACTACCGACTTTTATGAAATACTAGCTGACCCCGCGAACTTTGTTCCGCCTTAATGGCAATAAATAAAAGACTTTTTTTTTTAATTTCGAACGGGATAAAAAGTATCCTATGTCCTTCTCCTGGCTCTAAACTACCTCCCTGACAATTTTCAGCTAAATCGGTTAAGCCGTTCTTGAGTTATAAGTGGAGTAACTAACACGACTTTCTTTTATATATGTTACTGTAAAAGCTCGAATTGCAGTAAATCCTAAGATATTCCAGTAAAACCTAAGATCTACCAATTCCTAATGGTAAATGTCCCAAAAGGTTTGCGATTCGAACTCTTACCACCATTTCGTTGGTAAATCTTAGGATTTACATTGATGGCATGGTAAATGTTGAAAAACAAAACAAGCATTTTTGACAGGTAAAAATCGATCTTATCTACGTATTACACGAGCGCAGCTTTTTTGTATTGTTTAAATGTACGAACAATTTAAGAACTAAAAAAAGACCACGGCGTCACTTTTCATTTTAATACAATTAAACAAACCATGACGTCACTGCCTTGTTTTTTCTTTAGCAACGTAAGATCATGTCATATAAAATACTAGCTTTTGCCGGCGGCTTCACCCGCGTGAAATTTAATTTGTCACAGATCGCCATAAATTATAGCCTATATGTTATTCTGGGTTATAAACAATAATACTGTAAAGTTTCATCAAAATCAGTTCAGTACTTTTTGCTTGAAAGAGTAACAAACATCCACACAAACTTTCGCGTTTATAATACATATTAGTAGGATGCATGCAGTACAAAATATCAGTTTCCTAGATAGGCTAGATATGATATTTACAGGTATGCGCTACTATCAATTCAGGGTTATTATAATTCAGATTTTTTCCACTTCACATTTCGTCCATGCCATGATTTTTGTTATAATCTTACTAATTAAAAGTTCTGTAAACTTTTACGAAAACAAACGTCGTTGGTAATGAGTCAGAAGGAATAAAAAAAGGAAACAGTAAAAATGTGAACACCAAAACACAAGAAAAAGAAATGATTGCAAATAATTTAAATAAGTTTGTACTTATTACTATCAAAAAAGTAAGTAGTTAAGGATTACTCATTGTTTTATTTCTAAAACCAACATCTACCAGCTGACAGAGGTAAAACCTAGCATATACTGAATTCGAATGGTAAAAGCTCGAAAAAATCGTCGTATTTTCAGAAATACTTACATTTACCAACTCATGTCGGTAAATCCTAAGACTTACACTTAAATCTTAAGATTAACCGTAGTTCGAGCTTTTACAGTAACATATATATAGATTATTTTAGTGATATTCTTTCTTTGTTTTTAGCGAAGCTCGTGTCGCTTATAAATATGTATTAAAATGTTAGTTTCTCGGTAAGTGAATCAAATTTGTATTCTTATGAGAAATAAAGTGTCTTTAACCAAAAAAAATAATATATATTTGTTAATTTCCAGCACATTCGCTGTGGTGGACGAGAGCATGCAATGCGCGTGCGTGACGGTGTACAACTGGGCCGACGGGCGCGGCGCCATCATCGGCGACTGCGTGTGCATCCCCGAGCCGCGGCTCAGCGTGCACCAGCGGGACTCGCCGGACTTGGTGAGCTAACTGAGCAATACCTGCTGCTAGAAGTGCTATATACTTGGTGAATAGACTGGACAATACTTGTAGCCGGACTTGGTGAACAAACTCAAAACTCAAAAACTGAGCAACACTTGCCGCGGAATTTGGGTGAGTAAACTAAGCAACACTCGCTGTTGAACTTGGTGAGCAAACTAAGCAACACTCGCAGCTTGACTTGGTGAGCAAACAGCAATACTTGTCGCTAGACTTAGTAAGCAAACTGAGCAATACTTGTAGCTAGACTTGGTGAGCTAAATGAGCAACTCTCGCTGCTAGACCTGGTAAGCAAACTGAGCAACTCTCTCTGCTTGACTTGGTGGGCAAACTAAGCAACACTCGCTTGCAGCACATTCGTTAGTGGACGAGAGCATGCAATGCGCGTGCGTGACGGTGTACAACTGGGCCGACGGGCGCGGCGCCATCATCGGCGACTGCGTGTGCATCCCCGAGCCGCGGCTCAGCGTGCACCAGCGGGACTCGCCGGACTTGGTGAGCTAACTGAGTACTTGTCGCTAGACTTGGTGAACAAAATGAGCATCACTTGTCGTTAAACTTGGTGAGCAAACTGAGCAATACTTGTCGCTAGACTTGGTGGGCAAACTCAGCAACTTTCGCTGTTGGACTTGGTGAGCAAACTGAGCAACACTCGCTGTTGGACTTGGTGAGCAAAGTGAGCAATACCTGCTACTAGACTTGGTGAGAAAAGTGAGCAATTCTCGCTGCTTGACTTGGTGAGTAAACTGAGCAATACTTGTCACTAGACTTAGTTAGCTAACTGAGCAACACTCGATGTTGGACTTGGTGAGCACTGAGCATTACTTGCCACCGGAATTGGTGAGCAAACTGAGTAATATACTTGTCGCTAGACTTAGTGAGCAAACTGAGCAACACTCGCTGCTGGACTTGGTGAGCAAACTGAGCATTACTTGCCACCGGAATTGGTGAGCAAACTGAGCAATACTTGTCGCTAGACTTGGTGAGCAGAATGAGTAACTATCGCTGCTTGACTTGGTAAGCACACTGAGCAATACTTGCTGCTAGACTTGGTGAGCAGATTGAGCAATACTTGCAGCTAGACTTGGTGAGCAGAGTGAGCAATACTTGTCGCTAGACTTGGTAAGCAAACTGAGCAACTCTCTCTGCTTGACTTGGTGAGCAAACTAAGCAACACTCGCTTGCAGCACATTCGTTAGTGGACGAGAGCATGCAATGCGCGTGCGTGACGGTGTACAACTGGGCCGACGGGCGCGGCGCCATCATCGGCGACTGCGTGTGCGTCCCCGAGCCGCGGCTCAGCGTGCACCAGCGGGACTTGCCGGACTTGGTGAGCTAACTGAGTACTTGTCGCTAGACTTGGTGAGCTAACTGAGCAATACTTGTCGCTAGACTTAGTGAGCAAACTGAGCAACACTCGCTGTTGCACTTGGTGAGCAAACTGAGCAATAATTGTCCCTGGATTTGGTGAGCAAACTGAGCAACACTCACTGTTCGACTTGGTGAGCAAACTGAGCATTACTTGCCGCCGGAATTGGTGAGCAGACTGAGCGACCTTCGCTGCTTGACTTGGTGGGCAAACTAAGCAACACTCGACTCGCCGGACTTGGTGAGCTAACTGAGCTATACTTGTCACTAGGCTTGGTGAGCAAAGTAAGCAACACTTGTCGCTGGACTTAGTGAACAAACTGAGCAACACTTAACTCTAGACCTGGTGAGCTAAATGAGCAACTCTCGCTGCTTGACTTGGTGAGCAAACTGAACGATACTTGCTGCTAGGCTTGGTGAGCAAATTCAGCAAAACATGTCGCTGGAACTAAGCAATACTAGTTTGCAGCGCGCTCGCTCTAGTAGTCGAAAGAGAAACACTCTTCTGGTATTTTTGGTGTAGTGGATGATGAGTCTTATGTAGTGCCTGTATAATTAGACTTGACAGACTTGGTGAGAAAACTGAGTAATTTGAGTGCACAGTTATGGGAATTATTACAATTTGTTATCTTTTTTAGCATTCCTAACTTGTTCTATAACCTTTTAAAATTTGTTTTTATCTTCCACAGAAATACGACTTCAAATCGATACGCGTGAACAACCCTATGCAGATCCTTCTCAACGGGAAGCGAGTGGGCCGCAACCAGTTTGCTTGTACCAAGGTCACCAGCACCTACGAGATACACTGATTTTGTATGGTACGTGGATGGGATTGGGTGAGAGCGGCGCTAGGATTGGTTGAAACGACGCTAGGAATGGGTATGAAGAGGTCTACTGTTTTATAGGTTTAGCGCCTAATTTAGATACTAGATATATTATTATCTAGATGATACTGAATAAACATTTTTTCTTTCTTTCTTTCTAATTTAGTCAGATCCTGAGGTAACGAGCGGCACCGGAGGCGTGACATTGACATACACTCGGCATAAAATAAATAGCACCTCCCACAACAAGCACTTCTCAAACATATGCATCCCCACTTTCCACCATTGGTTCCATTTGAAAACCTAGTTCTAAACTTCATTTCATTAAAGGAAAGGTTTTTACCCCAAAAATGTGTTTTTAGAAGGATCCAGAGTCACTTCTACAAAAATAGGTAGTTACGCTTGAGCCAACTTTTATGGCTATAAAACTGTTAAATTGGGATTAATGATTAATCGCTATCCATCTGTCAAAAAGGACACGTAAGATCATTATTTGGTTTTATAACTACAAAAATTGGTCTAATTGATCCCAGAGGTAAGCCCCAAGTGAGGCCTTTTTTCAAGTCACATTCATGGTACCTGTTAATTGTTTATAAAAAAATTCAATGTGTTTTTTTCTTTAAGTTTATTTATTGGGCTTTCAAATAACACCAATATTGTTGGGGCACAATGATTGTGTCAGAAGAAAATCTTTAAAGTTCGCGTCGCGGAAAGTTCGATTTATTTACATACTAGCTGACCCGGCGAACTTTGTTCCGCCTTAATGGCAATAAATAAGCAGACTTTTTTTATTTCGAACGGGATAAAAAGTATCCTATGTCCTTCTCCTGGTTCTAAACTACCTCCCTGACAATTTTCAGCTAAATCGGTTCAGCCGTTCTTGAGTTATAAGTGGTGTAACTAACACGACTTTCTTTTATTATATAGATTTCGTTTCAGCTCGGAATGACAACTTCTCAAAATGACAACCGGGGCGCAAAATGTCCACTTCTCGAAATGACAACTTCTTAAAATGTCAACTTCGCTAAAAGACAACTTCTCTCTTCTTCTTCTTCTTCTTTTATTTTGGCCACAACATAATGTCTATTTCTCACAATGACAAATTCGCATTTGGTTAACTTCACACAATAACAACTCTAAAAGAACTAGAACTCTAGAAATAATGAAAATAAAATATCATGTTGAGTATATTGTGGCGTGATATAGCATTAGCGTTTAAAGTTACAAAAACACCCTCCCGTGCCGCTTCCATACCTCAGGGACTGATTATGTTAATCGCTAGATCTATAGTATAATGTATGATGAAAATGTTGACACAATGTTATTTTTTCCAACCTATTTAGAGATTGAAGACATTTAATTTTATCTGTTGATTATTTTATTTTCTAAAATGTGCTGTTGATTTAGTGAGGGCTCCCGTAATAACGCTCACTGGCGAGTTAAGTCCTGTCACTCGCTAGTGGCTAACACAGTGGCGCCACCTAGAATGTTTAAAGTGACGTGATAGAAAAGAAAAATATTTTTCGAAATTATTTACGGTGAGCCGTCCAGATGATTTGCAGAGTTAAAATGTAAAGTACACACGGCCACACTGATAACTATCCATTTCCGTTTTTGCTCTCGCTCTCATCAAATGGTGATACTTTGCGATAGAACGAGACGACATGACAGACAATGGATAGTTAACAGTGTTGCCGATGGCACACTGTAATCGAGTAAATTAATAAATGAATTGAATTTGGAATTTTCGATGGTATATCCTAGCGTCGCATGGTTGCTATTTTTTATAAAAATGTTTCCATGTAACATGGAATGCTTTGGGTTAAAATAATATCAAATGAAGAGCTATGCTTATTTAAATTTTTAACTGGTGCATGCCACCATATGATTTATGCAATAAAATAAGTTTTAAGAGGCCAAATGACTCGGAGGTGATTTTTTAGGCTGAGCGTAAGCGAGAAAGGGACACAAATATCACAGAACAGGATAGCACTAAGCAAAAAAGGTCCATGGTACCATTATCATTATATTGTACTTTCTAACAACACGTGGACCATAATTAATTGCTTGATGACTGTTCTATGCTCATTTTTAGTCTTGAATGAATTTTAATACATTGATTTTTCCAATCTATTAATTCCCAGTAAAACAGTTAAAATTTTTCAATAAAATTATCCATACAAAATATGTAGTAGAATTTTCTTATAATATTTTGATACAAACGGTAGATTGATACATTGGTCAAAGTATACAAAATCCATACAGGGTTGTCTATTATTCGTGGTCATCACTTTTTGTACTATCGCCCTGAAACTATATCAATCAAGGTTATTCAAATGGGCCGATTGTGTTTCTGACAAGCAGGAAATATGGTAAAATTGTCGTATAAATGACAACATTATCTATGAACAATGTCAATTTGACAGTCTTTCTATATTTCTACTTTTAACAAAAAACTGCGACATTTTGACGTTGCTTTCATAGATAATGCTGCCACAGAATAGACTTATCTGTGTAGGTAAAATACTATTTATTACACTACTCACTAAACTAAGTTAGATGTAAGTTATTATTCAGAAGCGAGAGAATTTGCTATGATGAAAAACTTTGACATAAAATTTGAATTAATGAAAAAATGCTAAAATTGTTTATTGATATTTTATTTGAACAGTATTATGTTTGTTAAACAAGAGTTTTAAATTACTAAAATGTTAAATTATTACATTATATTTAGGTTCATGTTTTCATATCTTATTTTATGTGAAAAAATGACTTCAAAATATTTTCAAGTGTTAAAACTTCACTAAAACATTATGGCAAATTTTTATTAATTGTTCAGGCGGAATGCACCTCATATAACATTCATATCTTCTTAAAATACATACATACATAAATATGGTACATACTTAATAGTGCACATTTAATTTAATTAATTCTACTAACCTTTAGGCAAAGTTGTGAAACATTCCTAGTCTTTTATGAAACAATTTGTTAATCCTTTACACAACATTTAATAGATGCGATACAAAAATGTAATAATATAAGTGCTGTTTTTATAAATTGTATTTTATTTCACGGTAACAATTAATAATGACGCAAATCTACTTATAATACGTAACCATGATAGACTTTACTACACATATAATTAGGTAGAATACTATTATGAGTTGAGAATGATAGTTCTGGTACTTCTGTATTTAAATTATGATTTTGTAAGTCTCCTTTACCTACCTTTATTATTGGAGTATTCGTCGTTGCAAATACTAAAGCTATATTCACATTGCGACGTGACATGTGCTCATAAATAATTTGTGACTATTTTGAATATTTTAGTTACAATAATAAATTAACACTTATGTAAAAGGAATTTAAAGGTCCTCCTGGAGCATTCGCGTGTAAAACAATACAATGATGATGCTTTGTCGTAAATCTTTGTACAGTCCACAGTATAGCCTGACCAGGAACATAAAAACCCTCGCCATGTTGCGGAAAATTAATGGTACTAATTTCTTTTAATGGCAACAGTAACTGAAAACTTAATTGACATGTCACCTTGCATGTCAGTCTATTGCTGTCAAAGTGTAAACAAACTTTATTTTAAATGTGCGCAATTGATTTTGTGAATTAAATTGCTAAAATCTTTTTATAGTCGTGAAAGAAAAGTGGTTCACAATGTGTTAAAGTATTTGTCGAAGAGAAATACTAAGGGTTCGGACAATATTTTCATTGAATAATGTTTCCGACAAAGGTTGTCAAATTGACTGACATGTTTATCGTATAGTACAGTCAACTATGAAAATTAGCTGTGGTTTGTTTCAACTACCTATTTTAAAGTTTTTTGTCACTTTGTAAGTATTGAATTTTATGGAATTGGGAAAGAAGTACCGAGTTTGAAGCGTTCATGAGCAGACATTGTAGTTGAACATTCAAGTTCAGAATTTGATTATTGATGAATAATAATAAAATCCTACTTGCTCGATTGATGGTTTCATTTAATTTATTTAAACCAGTTTACCTATAATAATACGTTTTTGTTAATTTATGAAAATATTTAATAAGCCTATAATCCTGAATCCTGATACATAAAGTTAGCCTATTAATTTAATACAGGTACGACTGTACCCAGTGTTGCACTATCAAATGCAATTGAAGCGCCTCTAAGCCAGGGTTTTTATGTTCCTGGTCAGGCTATACATCCGAAAGCCTACATTTGTTCCAAAATCGCTCTTATTACAACTAATCAAATGCTGCTATTTAGCTTCATATGCTGTCTGTATTCTAAGTTGATATCACGCATTAACCTCCCACAGCTTCAAATCGTTTTCGACAATCTCGGCGTACTTTTCCGCCTTGTTTCTGTCCTTGAACAAAGGCCTCAAGGTCTTTAGGTCTAAGCCTAGTAAGGCCCCGTTGTCTGCCCGTAAGAGCTCGTTGAGTTTGTACGCTAGATACGGACTGTAGTGCAGCTTGAGTAGGCTAGGTCTAGAGTAGAGGTACTGGCTTTCGCGTAGATTCTTTTTGGCCCAGGCTTCGACTGTTTTGTTGCCGCTTGCCACCTGTATCGTGAAAAATATTATTATTAGACATTATAACATGCAGGTATTGCAGAATAAACATTATGGTTTAGGGCAGCGGTTCCCGAATGGAGGTCGGCGGAATCCTGGGGTTCCGTGGAAAGGCCGCAAGGGTTCCGTAAAAAATATTATCCCACGTTTCGTGACCGACGTTGTTCGCGCGCACCGACTTGTTTACGCACAAGGGAGGGGCAGGGCGTGCGGGCGGAGTAGTACGGGGGTTCCGCTAAGAAAAGTATAATCAATTAGGGTTTCTTGTCAAAAAAAAATTGGGAAACCCTGGTTTAGGGTACAGTCAGCGTCAAATAGTTCGTAACACCCAAAGTAGCAAAAAAGTTGACATACAAGTATAACACGTCTTTGTTACAATTGGAATAAGGTTGTGTTGTGTTGTCAACATTTTGGCCATTGGGTGTCATGAACTATTTGAGGCCGACTGTACATGAGATGAAGACCTATTAGAAGTGCAGTAGTTTTTGTTTAGGTATAGGTACGAGTACGTTAATTTACTTGAAATTATTATGGAGGAACGTCATCATGTGGGTCATTTTGTCCACACCGCAGGAGCTAGTACCTATTCAATTTAACAGTAGGTATAGACAATTTGGCTTACACTCTATTCTGGCCAGAGAGGTTGAGAAGGCCTGACTTGTTGATTGATTAAATACTTATTTAATAAGTAAATATTTACAAGCATACCTACCGTTAAAAAT